TAGTGTGGCAACAGTATGAGGTTGGCCCAGGATTGGGTAGTGTTTCGTTCTGCTGTGCATAAGGTCGCTATGGGTCGGTACCAACTAAATGGCACCTAACAACAACTATAGTATGCTGAACAAATAATCTGAGACACTAGATCATTTGAAGAAGAATATGGCATCAGCATTGAAGGAAGATTCTTTTAAAACCTGCGATGTGCATATGATACAGCCTTTTGTGCTAAAAGACAGAGGACTTAAAATACTGATGAAGATCAAAGACCACAGCCTTCAGTATGGGTTGCACCTTAGTGTAAAGAAAAAAAAAAAAATTCCTCATCTTTAAACCAGTAAATAACATTGATTGAAATTGTCAGAGACTACATTTTGCTTGGGTCTACTATCAACACTCCTGTCATATGATGTATTGCTTTAGGCAAATCTGCTGCACAAGACCTCTTTACAGTGTTCAAGAGCAAAGATATCAGTTTGAGGACTAAGGTACACTTGACCCAAGCCATGTATTTTAAATAGCCTCATATGCATGTGAAAGTTGGACAATGAATAAAGAATACCATAGAAAATTTATTGATGCATTTTAGTTATGGTTAGTTCTTAGAGAAGAATATTAAAAATACCATGGGCTGCCAGAAATGAAACAAATCTTTGTTGGAAAATGTACAGTCAGAATGCTCTTTAAAAGCCAGAATGGTACTTTGGATCTATTATCAGGAGGCACTAGTCCCTGTAGAAGGGCATCATGCTATGTAAAGTGGAGGGTCATAGAAAATGACGAAGACCCCCAACAAGATGGACTGGGCTAGTGTCAGCAACAATGGACTCAAGCATGACGACAGCTGTGCGGATGGGGCAGGACTGGGTAGATTTTGTTCTGTTGTGCCCGGGATCGCTATGAGTCGAAACTGACTCAATGGCACCTAACAACAACAACAACAACTATTACTACTACTTCACCGGGACTGGTCCCTCCTGATAACTTGTCCAAAGTATGTGAGACGAAGTCTGTATTTCTTTCAAGGCGGATTTGTTTGTTCTTCTGGCAGTCCATATTCTTCAGTGTTCTTTGCTAATGCCATAGATCAAGGAAATCCATTCTTCCTCAGTTTTCCTTATTCATTATCCGGTTTTAACATGCATATCATGTGATTGAAGGTTCTATGTTGTGAGTCAGGGGCACCTTCGTCTTCAAAGAGACACTTTAAAGAGGTCTTTTGCAGAAGATTTTCCCAATTTGGTCGATTTCTTGACTGCTGCTTCCATAGGCGTTGTTTGTGGATCCAAGTAAAATGAAATCCTTGAGAACTTTAGTCTTTTTCCATTTATTGTGATGTTGCTTATTGGTCCAATTGTGAGGATTTTAATTTATGTTGAAGTGTAGTCAATACCAATAACCATAGTCCTTGATCTTCCTCAGTAAGTCCTTCAAGTCCCCTTTACATTTAATAAGTGAGTTGGTGTCATTGCATATTAAAGTCATCCTCCAATCCTGATGTCAAGTTCTTCTTTCTTTATACAGTCCAGCTTCTTGGATTATTCGTTCAGCATACAGATTGAATAAGTAAAATGAAGGGATTCAACCCTGTTTCGAAATTTTCGTGATTAGAAACCATGCAGTATTCCCTTGTTCTCTTAGAATAGCTGTCTGTTGGTCTATGTACAGATTTCCCATGAGCACTATTAAGTGATATGGAATGCTTGTTCTTTGCAATGCTATCTACAAATTATCATGATCTACATAGTCGAACACCTTTGCATAGTCAGTGAAGTGGGGGTTTTCTCTTATTCTCTGCTTTTAGCCAACATCCATCTGACAGTAGTAATAATATCCCTCATTCCACATCCTCTTCTGAATTCTGCTTGAATCTGGTAATTCCTTTTGGATGTACTGCTACACTGTTTTGAACTGTGTTTGGCAAAATTTTACTAAGGAGCATTCTAGCTGTATGTCTTCCAACACAGATTTGTCTACATTACTTAATTCTGATTTCCAACAGTGAAGTAGGAATGTAAGCCCTATTTCCTCCTAGTTCAATGGAATATTGGAGAAATTGATTATAAATCACATGGAAGGTTTTTGAGATAAGCAATAATTTTAACATCTCTTTCATGGTGTTATTGCAGGAATTAATTGAAATAATGCATATAAAATTCTTAATATATGCTTGGCATATAATTGTAAGTGGTACTGATTCTTTATATTGGAATTTGATGCAAGTGAAGAAATAGAGTTCAGATATTTGGGGTACTTATGTATGAAAATATTTGGTGTTTATTAAATATGCCTGGAATTTGTTTTGGAGGGGTGAGACTGGGTTAAATTATTGAATCTGGTGGCTCATTATTCTAATTTTCTAGGTTTGAAATTTTCATAATAAAAAACTATGACTTGTTTCCTTTTTATTTCTTTCACTCTCTGCAAGTACACTTATAATATGTTAGTAGATTATTATTACTGAAATGCAATGAAAATTTAGTTTGTAAAAAGCTAAACGACTTTTTGAGGTGTAGGTACTTCCTGCCTTAAGCCTGCAAGTCATTTGAATACATATAACAAATAACATGCAAGGTCAGGTCAATTTGAACCACAAGGTCAGTGGTTCAAACCTACCAGTCACTTCTTGAAAACCCTACACAAGGTCTCTACGTGTCGGAACGAACTTGAAGACACTTAACAAGAACAACAACAGAATCTGCTCAGCATTTCTCAAGCTGAGAGAAAGGAAGAAACATTTTAAGCCTCGACTTGAAATATTGAAAGATTCTATGTACAAAATATTGACTGATGCAGAAAGCATCAGAGGAAGATAGAAGGAATTCACAGAGTCACCATACCAAAAAGCAATGGTTGATGTTCAACCATTCCGAGACGTTACATATGATCAAGAGCCAATGATACTGAAGGAAGAACTCCAAGGTGCATTGAAGGCATTGGCAAAGAACAGGAGCGCCAGGAATTGCTGGAGTACAAGTTGAAATCTTCCAACAAACTGATGCAGCACTGGAGGCATTCACTCATCTATGCCAAGAAATGTGGAAGACAACTACCTGGCGAACTGAATTGAAGAGATCCGTATTTGCTCCCATTCCAAATAGCGGTGACCCAACGGGATGTGGAAATCATCAGACAATATCATTAATATCACATGCAAGTAAATTTTTGCTAAAGATAATACAAAAATGAATGCAACCATACATTGGCACAGAACATCCAGAAGTTCCAGCCAGATTCAGAAGATGACTTGGAACAAAGTATATTGTTGCTATTTGATATCAGGTGAATCTTGGTTGAAAGCAGAGAATACCCAAAAGATGTTTACCTGTGCTTTACTGACATCACAAAGCTTTCATGTGGATCATAACAAGCTATGGGCACCATTGCAGAAAATGTGTATTCTGGAACACTGAATTGTGTTCATGAGGGACCTGTACATAGACTAATAGGCAGTTGGTCAAAAAGAACAAGGGAACACCGAATGGTTTAAAATTAGGAAAGGTGTGTGACAAGGTTGTATTCTTTTACCCTAATTATTCAGTCTGTATGCTGAGCAAATAACCTGAGAAGCTGGATTATATGAAGAAAAATGTGGCATCAGGATTGGAAGAAGACTCATTAACAACTTGCCATATGCAACTTTGCTTGCTAAAAACAAAGTAGACTTAAAATGCTTACTGATGAAGATCAAAGACCACAGCTTTAGGTATGGGTTACACCTCAATGTAAAGAAAACACAAATCCTCACCACTGGACCAATAAATAACATTATAATAAATGGAGAAAAGATTGAAGTTGTCAAAGACTTCATTTTGCTAGGATCAACCATCAACACTCATGGAAGCAGCAGACAAGAAATAAAGCGAAGTGTTGCATTAGGCAAATCTGCTGCACAAGACCTCTTCAAAGTGTTCAAGAGCAAACACATCAGGCAAACTAACGTGTGCCTGAGCCAAGCCATGGTATTTTCCATAACGTCATATGCAAGTGAAAGTTGGACAGTGAATAAGGGAGACCGCAGAAGAATCGATGCATTTGAGTTATGGTGTTGGAGAATATTAAAATTGCCATGGATTCTCAAAAGAACAAATCTGTGTTGGAACAAATATAGCCAGAATGCTCATTAGAAGCCAGGATGGCCAGACTCCGTCTTTCTTACTTTGGACATAGTATCAGGAGGGACCAGTTACTGAGGAAGGACATCATTTTTGGTAAAGAGGAGGGTTGGGGGATGGAAGATAGAGGTGGGAGTAGGGGGTAGGGTCGGTGAATGACAGGAAGACCTCCAATGAAATGGATGGGCACAGTGGCAGCAGCAATGGACTCAGGGGTAACAATGATTGGGAGGTTGGCCCCGGACCCGGCAGTGTTTTGTTCTGTTGTGCATAGTGTCACTGTGAGTCGGTACCAACTTGATGGCCCCTAACAACAACAACAGCATATAACAAGTACATAGGAAGATTATTGGAATGCACCACCTATACAATATCATAAATAGGCTTCATTTTAATAACCAGTTTTTTTTCAAGCCATCCAACCAACTAGCATAGTGATTATGAATCGGACTGCGAACCTCAAGGTCAGCAGTTCGAAACTACCAGCTATTCCGCGGGAGAAAGATGAGGCTTTCTGCTCCCGTAAAGGTTTATAGTCTCGGAAACCCTGTACAGGGTCGCTATGAGTCGGAACCGACTCCACCGCACATAACTACCACAACCACCAACAAACTTCAGTCATCATTAAGAATAAACTACGAGTCCCAGGATACACTGCACTAGGAACGTAAAGCGGAGAGCTTCACGTCTCCGAACTGGTTGCCCTTGCCTTATTTGAATGGGATTAATAATACTGGTAAAAATTAACACTGTGCCCCAAAGCCCACTTTCGAGTCTTTTGCACCCTTAGGCTGGCCGAACGCACCATTCGGAGGGGACGGGGTGGTGCCTTTCTGTTCAGGCGCCGACGCGGGCAACCTCACCCCAGTCTGGGTCCTCCGTGCGGTCTGAGAGCTCCGTTAGTGCGCCTCCAAGATGGCGACGCCGTTGGCGGTAAATTCGGGTGAGTGCGGCCGGGATAGAAGGGAAACAGCTGGGCCGGGCCGGGCCGGGCTGTGATCGGTTCTTCAGGGAGAAATTCGGGTAGTGAGGTTTCTCCGAGGCCAGGCTCCTACTTGTGCTCGGTGTCCAGTGTTCTCTGGGTTTAGGCCCAGCGTCCCGCCCCTCTCCAGTTTGAATGGCGCGTGTGGCTTTGCGGCTCTAGCCTTTGGAACAGCGTTTGAGGGTCGAGGCAGTGCGGCTCAGCCCCTTGCAATTGGGTGTGCAGCCTCTCGCAGTCCAGGACCGAGCCTGGATCCCCAACCCTCATCTTTTGGTGTTCGGCCCGGGTTTTGCCAGGATACGAGTAGTCAGTTGTCCAGCGACGAGGCCAAGGAACTTGGGTGTTTTTCAGACACGAGCAGAGCCTGGTAAACGTGAACCCTAGATCCACAGGGAGGCTCCAGAGTCCCTAGTAGGGTGTCCTGCTGGCAGTCAGGACCCTTGATTAGTGAAGCTTGCAATTCGGAAGGTGTTCCGGCGGGATTGCCTCGGGACCAGCAGAGGACTCCAGCTCACGGTGTGGCCCGCCCGGCTTTGGAGGCTCCTATCCTTTTGGCGCCCTAGAATTCTGGGGTGGGGTAGATTTCAGGAGTGGTAAAAGATTTCAGGAGGTGGGATGGAGCTTCTTTTGGTGATTCTCAATCCAGGACGGTATTTCCCCCGAGGACGTTTCAATTTTGGGTTCATTTTGTCACAAATCCTGGGGTGCTTCACCGGCACCTAGTGGGCGGGGCCAGGTGTCAGCAGCCCCATGTGGGCGGGGCTTCTCTGGAAACCTAGATGTTCTTCCTGGGAATGTCAGTAACACCCAGTTATGCTGAGCTTCTTGGGCACAATTAAGAAACTGCGTGATAAATCTTTGTAGGGAAATTAACTCAAGAGGACACCATCGTGGGAATCTTTTGGCTCTCTATTTTTTGAGTGCTTTTTTGGTAGTAGAAGTTCTGGCTCTGCTTTTCACAGAACTGATACTCTTGAAAAGTTGTTTAGATCTGAGTTTTGTAAACCACACCATTTAAAAGCACAGTGCGAGATTGTTTTATAATAATGACAGCTTGTATCTGTTGAGCATTTGTAGCTCAGGTACTGGCCTACATGTTGTACTTGCATCATCTCATTTAAGCTCTTTGATGCACCTTTGGGGTGGCTGCTTTTAAATATCTCATTTTACAGGTTTGAAAACAGGGGCTGAGAGAGGTTTAGTAACTCCACCATGATTAAACAGCTAATGATTCTAAGCCAGTTTTAGGCACTTAAACTACTACACGCTAGTACTTAATCACAGCCGAATTCATTTTATTACGTTGAATTTTCATGTATCTGAATGTTAGTAACAGTAATGAAGCTCTTTCTTTGATGTTGCTGTCCTTCTTTCCAGCCAGATGTAAACTTACAAGCAAGCCTTATGTACCACATGTGTGATTATATACATTTCTTTAGTGTGCACTCATCCCAAGTTACTATCATTAAACATTGAAGCAAAAAGGAAAAGGTGTCGCCAACAGTTCCAAAGTCCTTATTATGCCTTGTATAATAAAGCCTGTGCCAGGAACTTTAAATTGGCTACATGAAAAAGAAACAGTTTTAAGATCCAGGAGTCAGGGAACCTTTTTTTTAATTAAACATTTTAGAATTGTAGAAGGGAATACAAAAAATTTGGTTATAGAGTCTTAAGACTTGTACTTGAACTTCACCTACATGACTTCCTAGTTGTTGGTATTGATGTTGTTGAGTGCCGTGGAGTCAGCTCCTACTCATAGTGACCTGTATAGGGTTTCTGAGGAGTAACTGCAGAATCTGAACCCCCCAAGCTTGTGGTTAGCAGTCCAGTGCTTATCCTACAGTGCCACACCAGGACTCCTAGTTGTTGAATAAGCAACCATTAGCAGTACTGGACAGTCCTTCCATGGTAGGCTGGTCACCACTGTCCCTTTCACAGCAGGAAACTGCTTCAGACCTTTTTCATACTCTTCAAATCTTTAGCTGCCAACTGACTGATGCCGTAATCTCAGAGACAACAGAGAAGCCAGCAAGCATAGCCACCGTCCACTGCCGACTCGCAGCTACCCTATAGGACAGAGTAGAACAGCTCCAGAGGGTTTCAGGCTGTCGGTATTTACAGGAGTAGATGGCTTCATCTTTTTCCTGAGAAGCGGCTGGTGGGTTTCAACCACTGACCTTGAGGTTAGCAGCCTGTACCATCGGCACAAAGTCTCTTTTTTCATCCTCTGTCACACATACATCTTCTATTGAATAACCAGGAGCCCTGGTGTGGTGCTGTGGGATAAAGCACTGGACCGAAAGGTTTGTTTGAACCACAAAGTCGGAGGTTCAAATTCACCAGCTGCTCCTTGGAAACTCTATTCAGGGTCACTATGAGTCAGAACTGACTCGATGGCACTTAACATTACATAACCAGGAATCCTAGTGTGGTATTGTAGTATAAGCACTGGACTGTTAGCAGCAAGGTTGGTGGTTCAAGCCCACCAGCCACTCTTTGGAAACTCTATACAGGGTCGCTATGAGAGTCATAACTGACTTAACGGTATTTAACAACAGCATTACGTAACCAGCATTACGTAATCCTAGTGTGGTGTTGCAGCATAAGGACTGGACTGTTAGTGGCAAGGTTGGTGGTTCAAACCCCCCAACCGCTCCTTAGAAACCTATACTGGGTCATTATCAGTGGGTACTGACTTGACAGCACTTAACAGCACAATTGGATAATCAGTATTATTTTTAAGGGAAGAAAATGAACGTGAATGTGTTGAGTTGCCACGGCGTGCCAGAATCTGTTGTGTGATTTACCTCCAGAGTCTGTCTCATGGAACCCCCTCCGCCCCGTGAAGCAGCGGACATTCCTGTTGTATAGAGGCGAAACCTGCAGTAGACAAGCTGACCCATTGCTTCTAGTCACTTAGTTTCTAAGGATGTAGTTTTTTGTTTGTTTGTGTTTTCAGTGGCAAAGCCAGGTTTAGCTGATAGTCCAATATAAAGCATGATTATCTTTTTTTTACTTCACTTCCAATATTACTTTAATATCTATTCTAGTCAGGTATTAGATTAAAAAAAAGGTATCGTGCTTTCACAGAGCTTACAATGTAGCACAACTCTAGAATAATAGAAGAACAAAATGTATTACCTTTCTTTTGCCACCTCTTACATGTTTACAGGTATTGATTCTATAGGAGTTGATTGCAAGCTGACTGATTCTGGAGAAAAGTCAACTTCCATCTTTAATATGAAGAATTTTCTACATTCATGCATAAGAGAAAAATAGTCATCCTCTGTATATGCAGACTTAGAGCATACCCAAGTGTCAGTCTAGAAAAGGGAGATTTCAGTCTAGGTTTGGTCTGTTGAAAGTTCCTTTCTCTGGTATCAGATGAATCCAGCTTCTATCTAGGAATCATGCTGAATGACATGATCTACCATCCACTACCTGTTACCGCCTCTGCCGTTCCTTGAAATTCCTGTACAGGATTGCTATGAGTCAGAATCAGCTCAAGGGCACACAGCATCTCAAAGTACTTAATGCCTATTATATGTGTGGTGCTTCCAGTTAATGCGCTGGACTGCAAGGTCGGTTGGAACTACAAGGTTGGTGGTTCAAGCTCACCAGCCGCTCCTTGGAAACCCTGTATAGGGTTGCTGTGGGTTGGAACTGACTCAACGGCACTTAACAACAAACAACAGCAGCAAATATATATAATTAAATAAATGTTTTATTGTGAATTGTGTGATAGGCTACATGGGAGAACATTACTCTTACATCCATTCTATCATCTGTCATTTCATTGGCATAGTTACCATCCCGTCCATGCATCCTCACCCAACCAAAGGATGTATCCTGCAAGACTTCCTCCCCCCCACCCCACCCCCAACACACACACACACACACACACACACACACACAGTCCTCAGCCCCTTTCCTTTTCTGGATCCCAAGTCCCCAGCCACTCCATCTCTTCACGTTGTCTTCTCTGCCTCCATCTCAGGCCTCACTGCTTCTCTGGGTAGGATGACGCTCTCCGTTCTTTTCCATTGATGGTCCCAGGGACCTCCACTCCTAGATTAGATTTCCAACCCTCACAGTCAGTCCTGATTACAATTATTCACTATTGCATCACAAGAGACCCACCTGTATTTCATTTCATCAGTCTTTCCTAGACAAGCTGGATACTATTCACTGGAGACTCTACCTTCCTCCATGCCCTTTGTATCTAGGTTCTCTCTTGAAAGTTTATAAGCCAGTCACTTCTTACCTTTGTATCCCTCCCCCCATTTTGGGTAGCCAATGTCCAGGTTGTCCATCCCTGTCTACTCTTTGTGTGGAGGGGAATAGCAGCAAATATTAAACAGCTCTGGTAGCATAGTGGATTATGATCTGAGCTGCTAACCAAAAGGTCAGCAGTTCAAATTGATCAGCTGCTCTGTGGGAGAAAGATGAGGCTTTCTGAAACCCTATCCAGGCTCACTGTGAGTCAGAACAGACTCCACAGCACACTGTTAGCACAGCAGATACTACACAAGTTTTCACAGCACCACTTCTGATCTGGTATGTAGGCTGCTGCTGAAGAACTGAGTCTTCTCTCCTCAGTGGATTCCGTGGCCAACCAGCCCACCCAATGGAGAGAGAGAAGAAGCAGGAGTATCTTTTTCTTTATGTGTTTGTGCTGCCAGTGAGTCTGCACCACCTAATAGGGATCCTGCCTGGGGCTTTTGACACGGGAGGAGACAGCCTCATCTTTCTCCCGCGGAGCAGCTGGTGGGTCTGTGAACTGCCCACCTGTGGTTAGTGGCTCATTGCTCATCCTACAGCACCATCCGGGCTCCGTTTACTTTATATTCAGTTAGATAAAGTGATGGAGAATACACTGTGGTCTTATATTCATGTCTCATTATACAGGAGTATAGAGTCTTAGTGTGATGCTGTGGGCCAAGCACTAAACTGCTAGCCGCAAGGTTGGTGGTTCAAACCCACCAGCCACTCCTTGGAAACTATAAAGGGCCACTATGAATCAATATTGACTTGATGGCACTTAACAATAGCAATAACAGGCTTCTTGGGGAGCCATGGTACTACTGTGGGTTAAATATTTGGCTGCTAACCACAAGGTCAGCAGTTCGAATCCACCAGCTGCTCCATGGGAGGAAGATGAGGCTGTTGCTTCATAAAGCTTTTTCAGCCTTGACAATGCTATTGGGCGGGTCTCCTCTGCCGATCGGTCATTATGAGTCAGAATCATCTCCACGGCACTGAATGCTGTTCAGTCAGTTTCCAACAGCAGAACGTCTCCGGGGGATGTTCTGTGAACTTCACCGAGAGCAGATTGCCAGTTCTTTCTCCCCTGGAGCCGGTAGGTGGGCTTGAACCACAGATCTTCACTTAGCAGCTAAGCGCTTAACCCTTTGTCCAACTGGGGCTCCTTGATTTGTATATAGAGCTCTCTGTTTATAAAAGTAGTGTTGAGTGTGATTGAAATGTGTAGAATGTAACATTACATTGCTTCAGATGTGTGTTTTATTTAATGATGACTTTATTTTATTTTGTCTTTCAGCTGCTAGCCTGTGGGGTCCTTATAAGGACATTTGGCAAACGGTGGGGAATGCTCTTTGGAAAAGACAACCTGAAGCTATTCACCTGCTTGATATGATTCTGAAGAAACACAAGCCTGACTTCATCTCACTGTTCAAAAATCCAGTAGGAAATTTTCTTAGTTTGCTTTTTTATTAAAGAATGAAGAGGACCAAGTTAAACTCTTCATGCATGTAAACAAAATATGTTATTTGCTCTACTCCAGGATTCAAGTTTTCTTTAAGAGTGTTATTTTTCCTAGCAGCAATTCTTCTCATTTGATCCCCGTAACTAGGAGAGAAACCTGGTCGTATCTGAATATGCTGCAGGAAGTTGAGTGCCTTCCAGGACTATTTTCCTTCTTGGAGTTTCTGACTTAAAGTTAATCAGCGTCTGAGCTTAGTAAGATGGGTTACTATATTTCCAGGTCGCCTTCAGCATTTCAGCTCTGTGTTATACAAGTTCTGTAAGCTTGGCCAAGGTGGTGTAGTGATGGGGTATGTGTTGGGCTGCTAACAGCAAGGTCAGCAGCTCAAGTCCACCAGGGCCTTCGTAGAAGAAAGATGAGGCTTTCTACTCCCGTAAAAGATTTACAACCTCAGAAACACTATGTTGGTTTGCTGTTAGTTGGAACCCATTTGAGGGCACACAGCCAGTAAACTGAGCTGATGAATAATGAACACTTGGGTACCATCCATCACTGCATCTTGAAATCCTTTGCAGCCAACAGTAGAGTGCTTCAGTGGAGGAGATTCCTACTGGATACTCGCCGCTTGCGGTTTGACACTTTTTCTTTTATACTAACAGGACCTTCTGAGAGCTGTTTTAAGAAAAAGACCTTTTTGCTTTTTCTCTAAAGGTGCAGTAGAAGGAGCCTTAGCCTGGGGGGCTGTTGAGCTGAACCCTCATCTTGGCCTATCACTGGGGCATCAGGTGACCACACGCAAGTCATTTGACTCACCTGCATGTCAGTTTGCTCATCTGTAATGGATGAGTTAATGTAAATGATTTGCTGGTCTTTTTAGAAGCTCTAAAATATTAAGGAGCTCTGGTAGGTAGCGTAGTGATTACATATCGGGCTGTTAACCTTAGGGTCAGCAGTTCGAAACTACCAGCTGTTCCGTGGGAGAAAGATGAGGCTTTCTGCTCCTGCAAAGATTTATAGCCTCAGAAACCCTGTACAGGGTTGCTACGAGTCGGAACCGACTCCACGGCACATAAACACCACCAGCATCTCCAACAAAATATGAAGATATTTTAGTGATTCTATGCTGTAGGTCATTTGTTAAATATTGGAACCAAATAAGTCTTTTCCGGGAAAGACCATACTTTAAATAATGTGTTAGTAAACTATCATTAACTTTACTAATTAATTAGTTCAGCAATTCATAAATTTATTTGTTATTTCCTATTTGAAGAACATGTTGTTTTTATTTATTAAATGGAGACTTGAAAAAGTTCCTTTGAAACTTGAAAATAGTATACTATTTTCTGTTTTCTCACCATTTTATAGTTCAGAGATTAGCAGAAAGAGATGTTGGTGATGGTTGGTTTTAAGTGCTGTCGAGTCATTTCCAATTCATAGCATACCTGTATAGGGTTTCTGAGAAGCAGCTGGTGGGTTTGAACTGCTGACCTTGTGGTTTGCAGTCCAATGCTGATCCTACAACGCCATACCAGGAATCCAAGAAGGAGGTTGTTGTTCAGTGCCATCGATTCAGCTCCAACTCATAGTGACCCTGTAGAGGGTTTCCGAGGCTATAAATCTCTGTGGGAGCAGAAAGCCTCATCTTTCTCCGGTGGAGTGACTGGTGGATCTTGTGGCTGGCAGCCCAGCTTCGGAAGCTACTGCATTACCAGGGCTCCTTAAACGTTCGCTGATAGAGGTCTAATTCTCCATTATCTGATAGGAAGACTTGTGTGTGTAACCTTGCCAACTGTGTCTCCAATTGACTCTTCATGACATGACATTATTTATTTACATTTTACAATTGTAGCCAAAAAATCTTCAACAACATGAGAAGGTCCAGAAAGCCAGTACAGAGGGAGTTGCCATCCAGGGCCAACAGGGGACCCGCCTTCTTCCGGAGCAGCTCATTAAGGAAGCCTTTATCCTTAGCGGCCTCTTTGAGATAGGGGAGCTGGCAGCTGTAGAGCTTCTCCTTGCCGGTAGGTTCACATTGAATGGAATTTTGGTGAAACCACATGCAATTATAAAATAGCATTTTTTTTCGCCTCTCAACGTCGTCTAAGGGTTGTATTTCTTGCTTTTAAAGAGGAACATATTTTCTTCTTGTCTTTGATGGGAAGGCTTCATTTTACCGTCGTCAGGGCTGTGAAAAGGTAACGAATGTCGTAACCATACAGTGATGTACTAGCCAAGAAGAGCTGGTGGCCTCACAAAGGCTTTGTGGTGTGAAGCGCTCACGCTGCTTGTATGGATTTCCTTTTTGCAGGTGATGAATATGCCAAATCCAAGATCATTTCCATGTTCCGGGGTACTAGGAGGGAAGTCAAACCAGGCAAGGGGGGAGAGAGTGAGAGTGGGGAGCTGCATGTGGGCAAGGCCTCCCTGACCTGGGGTCATCTGACCTTTGACCCGATTGATGAGAAGCTACCAGCCATGTAGAATGTTAGGGGACGAGCATTCCAGCCACAGCCTGCAGCACGTGCTTGAAGAGGAACAAAGACATGGCAGAGCCTGACGTGAGCACTGAGGCTGTAGCATGAGGGAGGAAGGTGAGAGGGCTGCAGGATCAGATCTTGTTGCATCTCGTAGGCCCTCAAAGCCACGTGGACCTTGTTCTCATTGCAGTGAGAAGTTGATGGGTGGCTTGAGGCAGGAAAGATATGCAATCTGATCTAACTCTGATGCGATTTTTTGGGCTAGTGTATAAAGCAGGATGGCGAGGTGGACAGGAGTGGTGAATTGATGTGTTAGGAGACGGAGGACCACAGTGCAGGTGAGGGGTGGTGAATTGATGTGTTAGGAGACAGAGGACCACAGTGCAGGTGAGGGATGGTGGATTGATGTGTTAGGAGACAGAGGACCACAGTGCAGGTGAGGGATGGTGGATTGATGTGTTAGGAGACGGAGGACAACAGTGCAGGTGAGGAGTGGTGGATTGATGTGTTAGAAGACGGAAGACCACAATACAGGTGAGGGGTGGTGGATTGGAGCAGATAGCAGTGCAGGCAAAGACGTGGTCAGAGTTGGCGCATGTTTTAGAGGTGGTGTGCTGCCAAGGATATGGGGAGTGAGAGAAAGACTCAAGGATGACCCCTAATTTGTTAGGCCCATAGGAGCTCTGGTAGTGTAGTGGTTACGAATTGTGCTGCTAGCCTCAAGGTTGGCTGTTCAAAACTACCAGCTGTTCTGAGAGAGAAAGATGAGACTTTCTGCTCCCGTAAAGATTTGCAGCCTCGGAAACCCTGTGTAGGGTCACTATGAGTCGCAACTGACTCCATGGTACTTAACAACTACAACAAAGGACTAGGAGTGAGAGTGAATTAATTTCTCACGTGATCTGTGTGTGGTTATGATTATTTGTTGTTGTTATTGTTAAGTGCTGTTGAGTCAGTTCCGACCCATAGTGATCCTGTACAGGGTTTCCAAGGAGCAGCTGGTGAACTTGAACCAATGATCTTACGGTTCAAACTGTCTTTGCAGTCTAGTGCATTAACCCATAGCGCCGCACTGGACTCCTATGATGCCTAGGATTGGCATTTTTATGCATCTTAAATTGCCTCCATTTTGATGATTTTTACTCCTAATCAATGTTTTCTAATTGCTGCATATCATTGAATGATATTGTTTTCAGTGTTTGAACAATATATAATTTCACTTTGAAACCACTTTATCAAAAGAGTTTTTAAAAACACAATATTGAAGCCCTTTAAGAGGCATAGTAACTCATGTTAGAACTGAAACTAAAAGTCTCTCAACAACATGTGTTGTTGTTAGGTGCTATCAAGTTGGTGCCAATGCATAGCGACCCTGTTCACTGCCCAGGCCCGCGCCATCCTCAACACTTGGTATGCTTGCGCCCATTACTGTTGCCATGGTATCAGTGCATCTTGTTGGGAGTCTTCCTCTCCTTCACTGACCGTCTACTCTACCAAGCATGATGTCCTTCTCCAGGGACTACTCCCTCCTGATGACATATCCGAAGGAAGAGACACACAGCCTTGCCATCCTGGCTTCTAAGCATTCTAGCTGCATTTCTTCCAATGCAGATTTCTTTGTTCTTCTGGGAGTCCATGATACTCTTAATATTCTTCTCCAGCACCATAACTAAAATATATCAATTTTTCTGCAGTCTTCTTTATTCATTGTCCCAACTTTCACGTGCATAGATGGTTTTTGAAAATACCATGGCTTGGGTCAGGCGCACCTTAGTCCTCAAACTGACAGCTTTGCTCTTGAACACTTTAAAGAAGTTTTGTGCAGCAGATTAGCCTAATGCAATACGTCATTTGATTTCTTGACTGCTTTCAGTTGATTTTTGGATCCAAGCAAATTGAAGTCTTTGGCAATTTCAGTCTTTTCTCTACTTAGCCTGATGTTATTTAAGTCCTCATACTTTGGACATATTGTCAGGAGGGACCAGATGCTGGAGAAGGATATCATGTTTGGTGAGGTTGAGAGTCAGAGAAAAAGAGGAAGACCCCCAACGAGATGGATTGGCCAAGTAGCAGTGCATCGATGGACTCAAGCGTGGCAACAATAGTGAGGTTGGCCCAGGATCGGGCCGTGTTTCCTTCTGCTGTGCATAGGGTCGCTATGAGTCGGTACTGACTTGATGGCACCTAACAACAACAACAACAACAACAACAAGCTTCCAGCAAGAAGGTTCTATCATCTAGTGTGGTGGTGTGGGTTAATGCGCTAGACTGTAAAGCCATTTTAACTACAAGGTCGGTGGTTCAGGTTCACCAGTCGCTCTTTGGAAACCCTATACAGGGTTGCTATGGGTCAGATCCGACTCGACGGCACTTAACAACAAACAACAAGAAGCTTCCAGCAAGCAAGGTTCTATCATCTGTATATTGCAGCTTGTTAATGACTCTTCCTCCAATTCTGATGCTACTTTCTTCTTCATCCAATTTCTCGGATTATTTTCTCAGCATACAGATTGAACATGTAGTGGTGAAATCATCAAATAATATCATTAATATCGCATGCAAGTAAAATTTTGCTGAAAATAATTTAAAAATGACTGCAATAGTACATCAACAGGGAGCTGCCAGAAATTCAAGCTGGATTCAGAGAGGACGTGGAACAAGGGATTATCATTGCTAATGTCAAATGGATCTTGGCTGAAAGAAGAAAATACCAGAAAGATGTTTACCTGGGCTGTATTGACTCTGCAAAGGCTTTCGACTGTGTGAGTCATGGCAAGCTCTGGACAACACTGTGGACAGTGGGAATTCCAGAACACTTGCTTGTGCTCATGAAGACCCTGCACACAGATCAAGAGGCCGTCGTTCTAACAGAACACGGTGCCACTGAATGGTTTAAATTCAGCAAAGGTGTTCTCTAGGGTTGTAGCCTTTCACACCCATGTTGTTAAGTGCCCCGGAGTCAGTTCTGACTCATAGTGACCCTGTGTAGAGTTTCTGAGGAGCAGCTGGTGGGGTTGAACCATGAACCTTGTGGTTAGATGTTAAGTGCCGTTCAGTGGGTTCTGACTTACAGTGACCCTGTATGGGATTTCTGGAGTGGCTGGTGAGCTTGAACCACTGGCCTTGTGGTTCCAATTGACCTTGCAGTTCAGCGCATTCATCTGCAGTGCCCCCCTAGGACTCCTTTGAAGTTAGTTGTTGTTGTTGTTGTTGCTAAGTGCTGTTGAGTCGGTTCCAGCCCATGGTGACCCTGTATAGGGTTTCCGAGGAGTGACTGGTGAGCTTGAACCGCTGACCTTGCACAGTTCAAACTGACTTTGCAGTCTAGCTCATTAACGCATAGCACCACACTAGTAGTCCAGTGTTTTTCCTATAGTACCACACAAGGAGTATCTACATACAATAATGCAAATATGTTCACTGGGATGGAGTAGATGTGACACACTCTAAACATTCTTTAGAGTATCAGATAAATGATTGTACAGCTACATATAGGGAGTTTCTGATTTGCAGCGGGCTCCATTTGCATGTGCGTGAAATCTCCTATCTTTTGTTTTTGTAGCCTGCTACGTGGTAATGTGCAAAGCCTTAACATTGAACATTAATGAGTGAGCATTGAGAATGGAAACATCAAAATGATGTGCTACAACATCGTGGTACATAGTATTAATGAGAAAATGTACTTTAAAAAAAAAGACAGTTTGTCATAACAAAAGCAGGTAGTCGGCGACTACTTGTACTGTCACTGTTAAAAAGAGCAGTCCCCAAGATGCCCAGATTGGTCAGTAGGAAAAATGCTATGCAGAACAGCGTGTACACCCAGTCCACTACCCTGGACTTGGTTCTGACTCACAGGCACCCTTCAGGACCGAGATCTGTCCCATGGGATTGCCAAGGCTGTCAACGTTGCAAAAGCAGGCTGCTACAGTCTTCTCCCTCGGAATGACTGGTGGGTTTGAACTTCCAACCTTAGCTTGCCATCATGCTTTAATCATCGTGTCACCAACATCCTCGTGTTTGTAAGAGCTTGTAAATGCATGGACAACATCTTCAAGGATAAACAGGAACTGGTTTCCATGGTCACCGATGGGAGGGTGACACGAAAGTAGGGACAAGACTGGGAAGAGCGCTATTCCTTCCACTCTCTTGTGTGCAGCTGAAGTACTTCAACAGAACCCAGTGAAAATGTTCCCTGTGGGAGTGTTGTAGAGTAAGTTCTGATTCAGCAACCCTAACTGGAGTTTCTAAGGCGTGGCTGGTGGGTTTGAACTGCCCACTTGGTGGTTAGCATTCCAGTGCTACAGGTAGTTCCTAAGTTATGATGGGGTTCCCTTCTTATTAAAACAAATTACTATTTTCAGTAATAGTTTATTTCCCTTCTTCCCAGCGGATGTTACAGACAGTGACATTTCATATTTAGGATAAAATTTACTTGGACCCAAACTTGAACAAGACATTCGGTATAATTTTGAAATTATAGGCCACCTGCTTCACTCTTGCCAATCAGCTGTTCCTTCACGTTCTTGATCAGGAACAAATTCACTTACTAAAATCACACAGCCCTTCATGATGTTACTGATTACAGCAGGGTTAGAGAAGATCATCTACAAATAACCACACATAGTCTTTTTCTCAGAAGAACAGAACAGATATCGAAGCAAAATGACAGTCAGACATGGAGAAAGGTCTAAAGACAAGATGGTACCCACTCAGAGGAGAGAGTTGAAACAGTGTGTGAATGTGAAACATAAGAAAAGGTTATAATTTTCAGAGAAGACTAGGGGATGTCACTTCCGGATATTTGAGAGATTTCATGTACACGAGAGGAAAGCATGTGCTGAATAGATTGGCAGGCTCATTGTGAGGCAGGATTCTCACTCAGCATATGGGAGTTGTGGATGAGGTTGTAGCAGGAGTTTGGAGCGTGGCGGTTCTGTGTGGTCCTAGTTGTGCAGCACCTTGAGTCTATTAACAGAGGAGTAGGACAGTGAGTGGATGGACGTTTCAGGTAGAGGACACGCAGACCCAACCTCATGGTGCCCCCAGGGGTGTCAGTGTGCTGCAAAGAGCTGTTGGTGACTGTTGTTTGGAAGAAGATATCCAGAACTTTCTTCTGAAGTGCCTCTGGTGGACTCAGCCCTCCAACCTTCTGGTCAGCAGCCAGGCACAGTACCGGTGTACACGTCCCAAGCCCTTATCCCGGAAGCAGTGAGAATCTTTGGACTCAACTTTGGTGTCGTGATTTTTTTTTTCTTAAATGTTTTATTGTGAATTATGTGATAGTTTACATGGGAGAACATTAATTTTACATTCATTTTATCGTATATCGTCTCATTGCCATGGTTATAATCCCTTCCATGTGTCATCAACCAACCAAAGGGTATACCTTGCAATCCCTGCCCCCCCGTGCCCCCCAGGTCTTCAGCACACAATCGCTCTCCCTCTCTGGATCTAAAGTCTCCAGCTGCTCCATCGCTCCATGTCATCATCTCTGCCTCCATTTCTGGCATCACTGCTTTTCTGGGTAGGGTCCTGCTCTCCGCTCTTCTCCCTTGATGGTCCCAGGGACCTCCGCTCCTAGACTGAAAAGTTAATCACTCCTCTCCTTGCTATAAAACGTCTACCTCACAATCAGTCCTGATAACAATTATTCACTATTGTATCACAAGAGACCCGTCTGCAGTTCATTGCATCAGCCCTGCCTAGTCAGATTGAATACTACTCACTGGAGATTCTACCTTCCTCCAGGCCCTCTGAATCTAGGTTCCCTCTTGAAAGCTTGTAAGCCAGTCACTTCTTGCCTTTGTAGCCTCCCACCCCCCATTTTGGGTAGCCAATGTCCAAGTTGCCCATCCCTGTCTACTCTGTGTGTGGAGGGGGAGGGAATGATTCTTCCTGTAGGGATTTATTCCCTCTTTTGAGCTACTGCTTCCATAGGTGTAGGTCAAGTTCATCAAATTGTATGAGAATACTTTTTTTTTTTTTCCTCTTCTTTTTACTTCTGGTTGAGCTCTGATCATCCAGTCATTGAAGCTAGGACAAGTGGGTATTATCTGCAAGTGTGGGTGTTCTTATGCATATACCCTTTTTTCTTATCAGCTGGACGCTTCACTCTCCACTCTAGTCCTCTGTGGCTATGTGGTGTCATGATTTTTTGTCTCATCCTAAATATATGTATGTTTCTTGACTATGTTTTTTTTTTTTTTTTTTTAACTTTTGTTTTAGGAGAGCACCAACAGCCACATTTTCCTGGTCTCACCAGAGGATTGGTAGCTGTTCTTTTATACTGGGATGGAAAGCGATGCATTGCCAACTCCCTGAAAACCCTGATACAGTCTAGACGAGGAAAGACATGGACCCTGGAACTCAGGTCTGTTTGCCTCTTAAGGTTTCAGGTGTTATTTAGAAATTATTTGAATAATTAATCGGTTTTGAAATAAAAATTTCCCTTACTGTGTATAACAAGGAGCTCTGATGGCACTTGTAAGATTAGCACGGGATTGTTAACCACAAGGTCTGCAGTTCAAACCCACCAGCTGCCCCGAGGGAGAAAGGTGAGGCTATTTGTTCCTGTAAAGATTTAGTCTTTGGAAGTCCTCTGTAGGCTTGCTGAGAGTTGGGATTGGCTCAGTGGCAGTGAGTATGTATGATTTAAGTAAACTACAGACAACAAGGTGATAGATGCTCTCACTTTATGCCAAGAGTGACCTGACACTTCAGATCTGCTTTGTTTTGTGTACCAATAAAGAGCGATGTGGTTATTCAGCAGAGACATTTTTTGAAGCTCAGTGATTTAGAAATGATAGCGTGAACTAGTTTATAATTTATCCTGGTGGCTTGCAGTAATGCACCATCATGGTAAAACAACCGAGTATGCTCATTAGAGACAACTGTTGATTATGGCTGTGTTGATCTGATGTCTTTTTCTTTACAGTCCAGAACTGGTTTCCATGACAACGCGTTTTACAGATGAGCTGATGGAGCAAGGATTGACTTATAAAATCCTTACCCTGGTGTCACAGATTGATGTGAACAATGAGTTTGAGAAACTACAGCGAGAGAGAGGCCTGGGCAGTGAAAAACACCGCAAAGAGGCAAGGGTTTAATGACATGCATCGCGGGTTGTCTTTGTCAAACCCTTTGACTCTTCTACTAGAAAAGGCTGAGGCAAAGCACTAATGCATATGAAAGTGTGTCAGCAGCTGTGCCACGAGATTGACTTGCAGTTCTGTCACTCCCGTACCTTTCTAGTTGTACTTCTGGAGTAAGGTCTTGAAGGCATTGGTCACTCCAGGAAGGAGGTTGGGATTTAGGACTGAGGACTGAACAGTACTCTTTGCTCAGAATTCCTTTGGTGAGAGTTTAGGTTCCTGTGTGGATTCAGACAAGCTTACTGGAGCAGCCTTTAGAAATGAGACAAAATGACGTTTCAGTGCATCTGTAGTGATGACAGCCCTGTTGCTTTCCAGGTTTCTGACCTCATCAAGGAGTGCCGGCAGTCCCTGGCAGAAAGCCTTTTTTCCTGGGCGTGCCAGTCACCATTAGGCAAAGATGACACTCTTCTCCTGATTGGGCACCTGGAGAGAGTGACGGTTGAGGCCAATGGCGCATTGGATGCGGTGAACCTGGCTCTTCTCATGGCTCTCCTGTATTGCTTCGACATCAGCTTTCTAGAACAAAGCACCGAGGATCGAGATGGTACGGGCATGGTGTGCTTCTTAAGGCTGCCACCTGAAAAACTAGGTTCAAATGTTGGTGGTAAGATTGAAGAAGGGCAATATTTGCCGATCAGAGAGTCACCAAATGTATTGGGACGTTGAGATACAAGAGCCCATTTTGAAAACACTTGGAGCCTGGTTTGGTGTCTCCATTGTCCTTTGGCATTCGGACGGGAAAGCATTATAGGTTCTGAAATATCAGGGTTTGCACAGGCTTCGCTAACCTGTATATCGTGTTTGTGGTTTAGCCTTATTTTCAAGCCTTTCATGAAAACATCAGGAAAGATAATTAACTCCAGTCATCAGTCATGTTTCCCTGATGTGTTCCTTGGTGCAGAGAAGATTTCACTTGGTAAACTTGTGAACAGTCATTGCCTAGACCTGAGAATCTAAAAAGGGATCCCCACAAAAATCGGCAGTTGCCATTTACCATCATTAATCTTTCTGACGCTTCCAGCCCCGGGTTCCCTGTAGCTGTGTCCTCTAGACGTCTCATTGGGCACGTGGGAGCGTGGGCATTTCTGGCTCCTTTCGGCAACCACTGAGCCATGAGGACAGGCTATTTAAACCACAGTTCCTCTTAATCCCGAGCCCTGGTATGGCTCTGTAGGATAAGCACTGGACTGGTAACCACAAGGTCCTCAGTTGAAATCCACCAGCTGCTCTCAGAAACCCTGTACAGGTTATGAGTCAGGACCGACATGACGACATACACCACCACCACTTTTAACCCCCAAGTGAGTTGTCACACAGTATGTTGTGTGTCACAGAAAGCATCGGTCAGATTCCCTGGGTTGAATGAAGTAAGACACAGGGTTAAGCAGAGTTGCCCAAGGCCTGTTTCAGGCCTCATTGGAAGGTGGGGTTCTCATTAGCCAGATAGAATGAGGTGTTCTAGGCAAAGATACGGAGTGCTTTGCTTTGGGGTGTAATTATACTAGAGTAGCGTGTTTATGAAGTCCTGAGGTGGCTCTGTAAGCACTGGACTGCTAACCACAAGGTCGGCTGTTGCTTCTTAGAAATCCTATACAGGGTTGCTATGAATTAGAACCGACTTGGTAGCACTTAACAAGCTCTTTTGTTCATGCTGTGTACCTTTGATTAAGAAATGGGAAGAGTGAATTGTTTAATGCATGTTTGATAGTAGGCAGAACCTTTTAAAACACAGAATCAAAGAATGGGTTCCTGCGAATCACTGAACTGGTTGGTCATAAGATGATATCAGAAGGAAGTCCCAGAAAATAATGAAGTGGATTGTGCTATTCAGTATTTCTTGAGAGTCCTGTGCTTATTTGAAGCTCTGTTGTTGCTGTTGGTTGCCATCGAGTCAATACCAATTCATAGCCACCCTGTGTACAACAGAACGAATCACTGGCCAGTCCTGGGCCAACCTCACAATCTTTGCTACGTTTGAGCCCATTGCTGCTGCCACTGTGCTAGGCCATGTCCCTGGGGCGGGGGTCTTCCTCTTTTTCTCCGACCCTCCACTTTACCAACCATGATATCCTTCTCAGGGGTTGTCCATTCTGATAATATGTGTGACGCATGAGAGATGACGTCTGGCCACCCCGGCTTCCGAGGAGCACTGGGGCGCTGTAGTACAAGTAACTGGAAATGGGAAACCCTTTCATTTATGTTGTAGCCAGAGTGGATGCTTGTTTGAAGTTTACATCCTTTGTTTTGATCATTTTGTTTGTTATTCAGGCTACATGTCTGTATCTAGTAAGATTCTTTGTTTTGATTATTTTGTTGTTCAGGCTGTTTATCTAGTACAATATTTTTCTTTCTAACTTTCATTTATCTTGTAGTTGTTGAGAATATGCACAGCAAAAACCCCAAATCAAACCCACTACCGTTGAGTTGATTCCAAGTCATTGCAACCCTGTAGGGCCGAGTAGACCTGCCCCAGAGGGTATGCAAGGCTGCCAGCCTTTAGGGAGCTGAGTGCCATGAAATGGGTTTGAACCACTGACTTTCTGTTTCACAGCTGAGCGCTTAACCGCTACACCCCCAGGGTTTCAGATACACAGCAAAAGCTACCCTAGTTCAGTAGTTTGTGCATGTACAATCCAGTGCATTGATTACATTCTTACCCGCTTCAACAGGAACTGCTGCTCTCCAAGGTACCTGTCTAATACGGGAGCATGGTGTGGGGTGGTGTCTAAAGACTTTTGTTCCATTTATATTACTGCGTTTAGTTATGTAGTGAGAATAGGAAGCTCACACATAACACAGCTTCGCTAATCGTGGGAATTGCTGTTTTCACTCTGATCCCATTTACTAAAAGTGCCATGGGCTGCCAAAAGAGCCAATAGATCTGTTTTGGGAGAGGTGCAGCCAGAGTGCTCCTTGGAGGCCAAGATGGCTAAACTTCGTCTCTCATACTTTGGACATATTGTCAGGAGGGAACAGTCGCTAGAGAACGATGTCATGCTGGGTAAGATGGAGGGTGAGAGAAAGAGAGGAAGACCCCTAACTAGATGGATCAGCCAGGTCGCATCATCGATGGCGTCAAGTGTGGCAGCGGTAGTGAGGTTGGCCCAGGATCGGACACTGTTTCGTTCTGTTGTGCATGGGGTCGCTATGAGTCGGTTCCGACTCGATGGCACCTGACAACAACAACAACAAAGAAGCCCTGGTAGTGTAGTGGGCTATGTGTTGGGCTGCTAACCACAAGGTCAGCAGTTCGAATCCACCAGCCACTCCACGGGAGAACGATGCGGCATTTTGCTTCCATACGATTTACAGCCACGGAAAGCGTGTACAGGGTCACTAGGAGTTGGAACCAGCTTGACGGTGTGTCAGTGTTATAGCAGCAGCAAACAGTTCTAAGAAGTGCAGAATGTTCAAGGTAGAACTTTTTTTTTTACTAATTAAGCTAAATCGTTGTTCCTTTTTAAAATGACTTCAAGGGATATTTGTGGCTTAAGGTATAAAGATGATCTTAGGGCAGGCAGTGTTTTCAGGGGTTCATCCAGCCTCCATGGCGCTTCCAGAGCCCTTGAGCATTTGAGATTCTGTTCTACAGGCATTTCCCCCTTTTGATTAGGATTTCTCTGGAATTTCGATCTGAGTGTTCAGTAATGGTAGCGGACACCATCCAGTTCTTCTGGTCTTCTGCCTAAGGAGGTTGTTCATGGAGATAGGTAGCCACACTTTCCTGACTCCTGTTTCTGACTCTCTCTCTTCCTTTGGTTGCTCCAGGTCAATGGAGACCACTGCTGTGCCTTAGATGGCTGCTTGCAGGCGTGTAAAACCCCAGACAATGCACTAGGCAGTGAAACACAAGAACTAAATACGTCATTAGCCTAATTACCTGGATGTCCTGGGGAACCAGGACCCATGAGCTATTTGAAAATCTTGTTGTTTGATCTTTAGATAACGGTGCATTTTAGAGTTTATATGCAGAAAAACTCTAAAGGGTTTAGAGGAGCAGCTGGTGAGCTTGAACCGCCCACCTTGTGGTTCAGACCAACTTTGCAGTCCAGCGCATTAACCCACAGTGCCATACCAGGACTCCAAGAACAACAACGGAGAAGAAAGGATTAGCTTTTTTTGTCATAAATATTGGTCGTCTATGTCTACAAGTGACATGAAAATGTCAAATTAGGGTCACTATTCTCTCCCACCTGTAGCTGGTGTACAGTCCGTAGAGTAGCATTCATTTTCATTGGTCACATTCATTTCTGTTGATGAGAAGTGAGAGTGGACCTCTCTGGTGGTTGGTGCAGTGACCTCTCTGCCTCTCTGTTTTCAGACATGCTTCACCAGCTCCCACTCTTAACAGAGAGACAATACATCGCCACCATCCACTCGCGCCTTCAAGACTCCCAGCTGTGGAAACTGCCCGGCCTGCAGGCCACCGTGAGGCTCGCGTGGGCATTGGCCCTCAGGGGAATATCCCAGCTCCCCGACGTGACAGGTGATGTACTTGAGGGGAGTTTGGCTGTGAAGAATGGCATGTCAGCATTCAGTGGTATCTGGGAAGGGGTGTGTGAAATACATGCCTGTGAGCCCAGTAACATTTCTTGACTTTTAGACAATGAAACTTGGTGATGTAGTAAAACATACAGGTAGTCTCTGACTGAAGTCGGGGTTCTCTTCTGAAGACTCTAGTAAGTTAGTTCTGGCATCAATTCAGTACCACTTTTTTTTTTTCCCAGTTTAAGTTTTCTTTATTAGTGTGTTTATACATCTCATCTTGAACATTTGTGAGATTAGTGTGTTTATACATCTCATCTTGAACATTTGTGAGAGATGTCATCAGCAAGCTTTGCGTGTAGTACGTTGTACAGAGCGCTACTGCCGAGAGCATCAAACACAACCCAGAAAAGCCTGGTGGGTGAGGCAAGGTGTGTAGCTGGAACATGTCCTTTCATGCAGCCAGTGATAAAACCCTTTTAATGGCTTCATTTTCCTTCAAGAGTTTAAAATTTGAAATGACAGTGTTACATTTAAGAATATATCAAAAATGAAAAAACCCTACTGTTTTCATTTTTATTCATTTGTTTGGTTTTGTCTACGGGCAAAGTAACACTGGTTTCCACATTGTGTCAAATGAAAAATAAATTGTAAACAAAAAGTCAACATACCAGTCAGGAGTTGATGTAGAATTCGGACTTTGGCAGTCACGTACCCACTGTTGGTCTGATGGGTCACAATGTGTCATGACTCCCTCATAACTGCAGAAGAGTACAGCATGGGACGTGCCATCGAGGCAGTTCAACTCATCGTGACCCTATACAGGGTTTCCGAGGAGCACCTGGTGGGCTTGAACTGCTGATCTTGTGGTTCACAATCCAGTGCTGTGATTGTGGCTCCTACAGTGCCACACCAGGAGTCCAACCTTACATTTACGTTCATGTTATTATCCTGATGGTTTGACACCATTGCAGCCTTATGGGCCCAAACGTAACAACACTAGTGAGGACAGCGTGGGACCGAGCAGTGTTTCTGTTGTGCGGTGTAGGGTCGCTGTGACTTGGAACTGACTCGATGTCACTTAGTAGCAGTGGTTTACCCTGACAGGATGAGAACTGTGCTGTAGAACACACACTGTCCTGTGTGCAGGTTTGATGGTAAATCTGCAAAGACTCTGAAATACATGACAGTGTCTTCTTGTGCCAGGTGTTGGCCACTTCCAGCATTTTACCAGCATGATTCTGGAACATCTTTTTCACTTGTGCCATGCTGTTCCCAAGAAGTCGGCCTGTTAAGAGTCTCTCTGTGGTCAAGTTGTTTTTATTTTTGCATTCACGTGTCAATTCTATTTTTTATTTGTAAGTTGCCCTTGGAAAATTTAAATGGCTATGTAATAGTTAGTCATACTCACACACTGTGGTCTGATGCACCACTTTTAGCCTAGAATTTGCTGAGATTGCTGTGGACTGATTAGCTGACAACTGGCTTGGAGTTACAGACCTGGTTTCAAGTCTCAGATCTTTGGCTGATGACTTACTCTCTTTGAGTCTATGTGCTCATACCTTTTCACAAGCTTAGATAATTGGAGACATTTTAATTTGAATTTCAAAAGTGTGAAAAACTTCTTGTGTTTATTTGCAATTGAAAAAAGATGAATAGCTAATCTTCTTGAAATAATCCAGATGGGTTTTGTGTTTATTTGCTTTACTGTACCTATAGATGTGTATGTATATAATGAAAATTTGCCTGCTTAATCAGTTTTTAATGTACAGTTAGTGCAGTGAATTCATTCTCCATCTTGTAGTACCATCAGCGCTATCCATTTCTAAGAGTTTTTCATCCCCCTGTATAGACACTGGGTACCTCTTTAACAGTAACTGTCCCCACCACCTCTCACCCCCAGCCCTGTACTCAGCTTTGGTCATTTGCCTATTCTAGCTAGTTCCTAAGTGGGATCAGATCGTGTCTACATGTTTTTGTCTGACTTACTTCACTCAGTAGGATGTCTGTTCATCAGTGTTGTATCAGAACTAACTCCATTTCTCTTTGTCGGTAAATGCTGTTCCATTGTGTGTTTTGTGTATCAGAACTAACTCCATTTCTCTTTGTATGTAAATGCTATTCCATTGTGTGTTTGAACACATTTTATGTACTGCTAATGGACACCTGGCTTGTTTCCACCTGTTGGCTATTGTGACAAAAGTCTTATTTAACAAAGGTCACAATTTTGAAAAAGTAGTTTATATGCTCTTCATAGATTTCTGAAAAGATTATCAAACATGGTTATTACATTCTCACATTCTAAAAAAGGAAATGCATTTAGAATGTCACTACACTTTGCATAATTGTAATCTCCGATGTAAATATTGGAACTCAGTTTATGATAGCATAGTAGTGCTGTTTTATGATCTAAATAATCTTAGAAGGTGTTCTTACATGGGTCAGTTTCAGTCTTAATTCCAGTGTTTCCAGATTCAAATGACCCTTTGGAATGAATCACAATAATAATTAATTAGTATTAATATTAATAGGGCAGTCCTGGTGTGGTAACTATTGGATAAGCGCTGAACTACTAACCACAGGGTCGGAGGTTCAGTCCTACTTACTGCTCCTCGGAAACTCTACACAGAGTTGCTATGAGTCAGAACCAACTCACCAACTCCTAACAACAGGAATATTAATAGGAGTCCTGGTATTGTGCCGTAGGGTAAGCACTGAGCTGCTAACTGCAAGGTTAGTGGTTCAAACCCACCAGCCACTCCTTGGAAACCCTATGCAGAGTCACTTTGAGTAGGAACCAACTTGATGGCGCTAAATAACACCAACATTATTAATCAGCATCATGATTGATCGTAATACAGAATTAAGGAAAGGAAAGATGTGCATGGATAAGAAAGATGCTGGCTTTATTTCAAAATACAAAACAAACCATAAACCAAAAAGAAGAAAAACCGCGTATCTATTTACTTCTGTCTGAGAGTCTTCTGGGTTAGATCTGTTTCTTACCTTGTCAAGGTAATGGAAATACCCTTTTAGTTGTCAGGAGACTATGTAATTGATCTCTGCAACAAGCAAAACCTATGTAGCAGTTCTTTTCCAAAACCAAATTGCCATAAAATTGCCTGGCAATTTAAAATATCTAAAAGAAGTAACTGGAAAGTCTCATTTTATGGAAGGAATCAATGCTACCTCTTCCCCCGCCAAAAAACAAAACTCTAATATAAATCAGATAAAGCCTCTGTAGATCAAGCAATCAATTTTTAGGCTATCCAGAGCTCAGAATGCAACAGTAAAACCACATGGTGGGAAATTGTACAGGACAAAGCCAACGTTTCTTCAGGAAATAAATGGCAAGAGAAGACTTCCGACTTAGGAAGCAGTTGTAATATGTGGACATTATTTAGATCCTGCTGAAGCAGCTAACTGGACAAAAAGTAAAAAGCAAGCCAAACCAAATGGGATACTTAGCAGACGGTTGTTGGTGTTAACTACCGTGGAGTCGGTTCTGACTCATAGTGACCCTGCATAGGGTTTCTGAGGCTGTAAATCTTTATGGGAGCAGAAAGCTTCATCTTTCTCCCATAGAACGTCTGGTAGTTTTGAACTGCCGACCTTGAGGTTAGCAGCCCTATTCGTAACCACTATGCCATCAGAGCTCCTTAGAAGACTACTGGATACTTTTAATAGTAAGGGATTATTGTTGACCATTTTTTAAAAATCAGATAATGATATGGTGTGCCTGTATGTGCTTTTCCACAAAATAAGGTTTGGAAAAATTCATTATACAGTGAACATTCTGAAGCCTCTTTGTATCTTCTTGAGTTGTACACAGAAATATTAGTGGGTAAAATGGATTCAAGTGTGGGGGTGTGTCTAGAGGAGACAGGAGTGGCCATATGCATTGGTGAATATGGTGCTGATGGTAGGTGAAAGCACATTATATTAGTCTGTTTTTAGATGTATATGAAATTTTCCAGATAAAAAGTTTAAAAAATTTTAAGTAGCCCAGTCTGTTGATAAAATTTCATTTTCCAGTTTTTGCTGCTTGAGTACTGAATGATTGAAGAAATGAGACCAGATGTTGGTTCCTCTCTGTCTTCCGCTGGGATCAAGGCCTTAGCACCCCCACTGCAGTATGCTGCTGAGTGATCATAGCTCCACGTAGACAGTGGTGTTTGGGCAAATGTCTCTCTACTCGGTTTCCTTCATCAGAGACAGTGTATTACAGAGGACACACTTTTTGCCTAATGCACACTTTTTTTTTTTTTGGTTACAGTTTTTCTCAGGGGTTTTTGCCCATGGCTTGTTCTAGAAGGTTGGGAAGAGATCTGAGTTAGAACCGTTTGCCACGGTACTATGAGACACTGATTTGGGTTAGTGACGTTTCCCCCATGTACTGTTTCAAACTGTACTTGTAGCTCTGGCTGAGTTCACAGAAGCAGACGAAGCCATGGCCGAGCTGGCGATTGCTGACAATGTTTTCCTGTTCCTCACCGAATCTGTGGTGGGCTCAGAGAACTTCTACCAGGAGGAATTCTATATCCGGAGAATCCATAACCTCATCACAGATTTTCTTGCGCTTATGCCGATGAAGGTAAGTGGGCTGTGATGTTGTGTTGTTTTCAACTGCGATTGAGTCGGTTCTGACTCTTAGCAACTCTGTATAGGGTTTCCAAGGAATGGCTGGTGAACTTGAACCACCGACCTTGTGGTTCAAACTGACTTTGCAGTCCAGCGCATTAACCTACAATGCCACACTAGGTAGTAGGAAGAAATATTTACCACAGGGAACGGCTCATAGTGAGGAAGGAAGCGGTACGTGAAAATGCTTTCAGGAGTAGACAGTCACTAGCCCCAGGGCTTTATTGAGAGCTTTCCGGCGTGATTTGGAAGAGACACAGTGACAGGTCTTCAGCTCCTTGTTTAGACTCTTCATTGTAGTGTGTACATGGGCTTTGGCCTGGGTGCTTATGCTGGGCTGAAGCCATTGTGTTGATTGAAGGGAATGTTCTGGGAGCGACTGCAGAGGGCGCTCTCACAGCATATCCTCTGTGTACCCTGTGGCTAAAGAAGCCACTGAGATGGGGGCGGGAGAAGCTCTAGAAAACCATCTTTGTGTGTGAGTGTGTGTGTAACAAAAAATAGCCTGAAACTTCTACGTTTGTACTGTTGTCCCACAGCTTGTAGACCTCCTGAAACTACAAGGCCTCTTGCCTTGTAAAGGACCCAGACTGGCAGCCCTTTGTGCAGTATTTCAGGAATCCAGTGTTGACTGAGTTTCTCCTGGGTTCCAGGTGTTGGGTTCCAGGCTTGCTAGTGCAGTGTAGAAGGTAAACAAGTAGGGGACTCATTTCCTGCCAACAAAGAATTGATCATCTAGGTGGAAAGAGAAGACATACCCAGGAGAGTAACAAGGGGGCTTCAAAAAGCTTGTGGAAAAAGGGAATGAAAAGATCATGGAATTTCTCCGTGAGCTTTTTGAAGCCCCCTTGTAGGTAGCAAATGAGCGGCAGAGGAGTACATTGTCGAGGAGTTTTCAGTGTGAGGACAGCCCTCTGAGGACTGGAGTAGTCAGGAGTTATGACAGATCAGCTGAGGCTTCAGCCAACAACCTAGAAGGACTTCATAGATTCACATCCCAGAATGTTGAAACAGAGACAAAAGTCTAGCAAACCCTTGCATTTTACAGCTGAGGAAGTGAACCCTGAGAAGGACTAAGGCTTCAGGGTTTTCCTAGTTAGTTGTCTGTGTGGGACGCTGATTATGAGAGAATCTTCATCTGGAATGTTGATGACTCAGCAGTCTATTTTGAAAGAACAAATTTAAAATTTTTTATGATGTCCAATTTACCTATGTTTTTTTCTTCTACGGGTCATTTTTTTACCGTACTTATTCAACCTGTATGCTGAGCAAATAATCCGAGAAGCTGGATTCTATGAAGAAAAACGTGGCATTAGGATTGAGGAAGACTCATTAACAACCTGTTATATGCAGATGATAAACCTTGCTTGCTGAAAGTGAAGAGGACTTGAAACATTTACTGATGAAGATCAAAGAGCACGATGTTTGCTATGGATTACATCTCAATGTAAAGAAAGCAAAAATCCTCACCACTGGACCAATAATAAACAGCATTCTTATCAATGGAGAAAAGATTGAAGTTGTCAAGGACTTCATTCTTCTTGGATCAACTATCAACACTCAGGGAAGCAGCAGTCAAGAGATCAAACGACGTATTGCATTAGGCAAATCTCCTGTTCAAGACCTTTTTAAAGTATTGAAGAGCGTAGATGTCAGCTTGAGGACTAAGGTGCACCTGACCCAAGCCATGGTATTTTCAATAACCTCATATGGATGCGAACACTGGACAGTGAATAAGGAAGACCGTAGAAGAATTGATGCTTTTGAGTTATGGTGTTGGAGGAGAATATTGAAAGTGCCATGGGCTGCCAAAAGAACTAACAGATCCGTGTTGGAAGAAGTGCAGCCAGAGTGCTTCTTGGAGTCCAGGATGGCCAAACTTCATCTGTCATACTTTGGGCATATTGTCAGGAGGGACCAGTCTCTGGAGAAGGATATCATGTTTGGTAGAGTGGAGGGTCAGGGAAAAAGAGGAAGACCCCCAATGAGATGGATTGGCCAGGTGGCAACATTGATGGTCTCAAGTGTGGCAACAATAGTGAGGTTGGCCCAGGATCGGGCAGTGTTTCCTTCTGCTGTGCATAGGGTCACTATGAGTTGGTACTGACTTGATGGCACCTAACAACAACAACAAGAAGCGTGGTCAGTTATATATATATATATATCCGACTGGACAACACTTAGCAACAACATATGTGTGTGTGTGTGTCTATTTCTGTACTCTGTTCTATACCCTTGCTCCGAATGTCTGCCCATTTTCCTGGTTTTCTCTGTAGTCGTTCTGTTGACTATTCAGAGACAAGTGTTGAGATCTTGGACCGTGATGCTGGCTTTGCATGGCTGGGATGAATGCTTAACTGAGACATGGTTTCATGCTTCTCTTGGTATTTATTTCTCCCAGTGGTTCTCAACCAGGGCCACACTGTCCTCCAGAGATGTGTGGGAAATGAGTGGAACCATTTTTACTTGTCACAATGACTGTGGTGTTGCTATAGGTGGTGAGTTAACAACTGTAAACAGTTTCAAGCTGGCTGAACATCCTTCAATTTGTAGGCTAATCCTTCACAGTGAAGAAGTGTCCTGCTCCACACGTCAGCAGTGCGGTCATTAAGAAACATTCTAGTTAAACTCAACTTCTCTGTAGTGGAAAACTCACTGACACTTTAAGATATTTTAAATATAGTAAGTAATAATACAATAATGCAAAGTCATGCAGCAGTAGAAGTTCTGGCATATTTCTTTCCATCATTAAAGTGGAATAGATACTACACAATGTTTTTCTTTTATGTGATCTTGTTAGAGCAGTTCCTTAATTTTCTGATCTCGTTGTTATGGACCCATGCGTAATAGCCTTCTGTCTTAAGCCATGTATATGTGTTGTCTAGGTGAAGCAGCTGCGGAATCGGGCAGACGAAGATGCCCGAATGATTCACATGAGTATACAGATGGGTAACGAACCTGCCATGCCGCTTAGGAGGGACCTTGAACACTTAATGCTCTTGGTAAGCTGTTAGATTGGACAGGGGCTCTCTCTGTCTTGACATCATTTTCTGCACATTTTGGAAAGTCACAGGTCTAATACTGTAAATCCACATGGTTAATAAGAATATACTTTTTAACTTTAAAGTAATGTTTAAGTTAGGAGACATTTTCCCACAGTGTCTTTGCTCACTTCTTGCAGATTGGGGAGCTGTACAAAAAGAACTCCTTTAATTTGGAGCTAGCGCTAGAATACTGGTGTCCCTCGGAGCCTCTTCAGACCTCCACGATCATGGGCTCTTACCTAGGGGTGGCGCATCAGCGACCTCCTCAACGCCAGGTGAGTTTCAGCTTTTATCTGTGGATATGCTGGTAGGGTTACTGGGACTGTTGAAAGCATGAGAGAGTGTCCTCAGCTGACACTATTATGATGAGACACAAATGATTGTTAGTGTCATCTCTAGAAATGGACCTTGTCATTGAATGGAGGTACAGTTGAAGTCCTCAGACTGAAGTTCTGAGCGTTTGGCGTTCACGTTGTGCAGCTCTTTACTAGGTCCTAGCTATGTGTCTGAAGGAGTTGAGACAGAGGTGCCTGGTCCCCTTACACCTGCTGGTATGCTCTTCATGTGTCACTTATTTGAATTTATGGACCTTTTAGTCTGTCCTCTATAAACAGTAACTAGTAGTATAAATAGTAGTATAGCCCATCTGACCAAGTTGGGGAAGCTAGGAGAGGTGAGGTACAAGCGCTGAAGAAAAAGGCACAAGAATTGATGAAACAATTGCCTTTGTCAGTAGATAATGCAATGAAAAGCTCATTTTCTAGCCTGTATTAACAGAAGTATGATGAGCAGAGGCTGAACAAATGGAACTGAGAAAAAATGTAACTCACACCTCACATCTTAGTGTGACAGTTGGTACCATGACATTCTGCTCCTAAATAGTTGTGTGTATCTCTTTAAAACAAGGATATTTTCCTACACAATCACAAACTCTTGTGATATTTAATAGATTTAGCATACTTTTCACATATCTGTAGCATTTTCAGTTTTAAGTTACAACCAGTGACTTTGATATGTTTGTTGTTGTTAAGTGCAGTCGAGTTGATTTCGATCCATAGTGACCTTGTATAGGGTTTTCGAGGAGCAGCTGGTGAGCTTGATCTGCCGACCTTGCAGTTCAAACGACTTTGCAGTCTGGCGCATTAACTCACGATGTGAGGAAGATGTTAAGACATGAACGTAGCAAGCAGGAAGGTCTGAGTGTGTGAGCGTGGCTTTGGCGAGAGCACAAAGCAGCACAAGTGTAGATTTCTGTCAAAATATTCTGGATTACTAGGCCTTTTCACTGAGTTTGACTAGGATTTTGGATTGCTAGGCCTTTTTACTGAATTTGACTAGGATTTTGGATTGCTAGGCCTTTTTACTGAGTTTGACTAGGATGTGGGGCCTCTAGATCCTAAGTATTCCAGAACACTTGGATATGCTCATGAAGAACCTGTGCATAGACCAAGAGGAGGCAGTCTTTCAGAGAGAACAAGGGGACACACAGTGATTTAAAATCAGGAAAGGTGTGCTCCAGGGTTGTATCCCCTCACCATGCTTACTCCATCTGTGTGTTGAGCAAATAATTTGAAACAGTGCAGTATGTATAGAACATATACACAGGGTCGCTGTGAGTCAAAACCGACTGTGTAGCCCTTGACAGCAATGAAAACTTCGGGTATGTTAACAGGAGTAAAGGACATCAGTCTTAGCAAAGTGGAGGGTCAGCGAAAAGGAAGACGCCTCTCCATGAGAGGCATTGGCACAGTGGCAGCAGCACAGGGCTCAAGTGTCACACCAATTGTGAGGGCGGCGCAGGACCCGCCAGGACTTCGTTGTATTGTGCAGAGGGTTGCTGTGAGTCAGACCCAACTGAACAACACCTAACAACAACAGTGCTCTAAGTGTACCTCTGAGTTCGCTGGTTAGCCTGAGATAAGTACATTTCCTACAGTTGTTTTATGTATTTAAAAAGTCAGCAGTTAGATGTTTTGTGACATTAAGGTGTTTTGAAAGAAATATACTTAATGTTCACAAAAATGTACTCGGTAATTGCATTTAATTGTTAATGAAGGCTTGTAAAAACAATTCTTCATAAATAGAACCATGAGATTATTTTGTGTTTCGAGGGATGAAATCAGAGTCCTAAATTAGTTTTAGTGCCCATATTGCTTTTATTAGCTGATCCAGGTTACTTAAAAGTCTAGACACACACAAATACACACATATCTTTATGTGTATAGATATATATTAGGGTAAGTGATAAAATGTTGCTACTAAGATTCCAATTTATACATGCATAGGTTTGTTTGAAACAACACTTTTGAAAACTTGGCTCTGATCAGGGGATGGCTGTAGACAAGTTCTCTCAGTAATGCACCTGTCTTCGTCTCCTTAGAGTGCCTTCAGAAAAAAGGTCCAATCAAGCCAGTGGCTGGTCCATTTAAATTCAAGGCAAAGAGAGAGGTCAGCTCAGAAGGTCATGGTGATTGGTGTCTGGGATTCCCAATGGTGACCTTGATAGATTTTCTTAAAAACAAAACAGCGCACACACAAACACACAGGATAATCGCAGGGGCTTATTATGAAGAAACTTGAAGAAAATTGAAAATTGCCTTGACGAGAAGTTTCCCAAACTCAAGGAACATTTAAGAAGAACTTGAGTCCCTTGAAGATGCCATTCTTAGCGAGGTGTGAACTGAAGAACTCAGCATTCTTTGGGGAAGGGTTAGAGCGAGGCGGAAACACCGCCTTCAGAAGTGTGGAGATGGGGGTGTGTAGAGAAACAGTTGCATCTCATTTTGATGCTTTTGTTTGGTAAAGATTTGTATGATTTTCTTGCATTACTTTTTGATTTATCCTGTGTGTGTTCGTTTTTTATTTTTTTATTTCAGGTTGTGTTATCCAAGTTCGTTAGACAAATGGGAGACTTGTTGCCACCAACAATTTACATCCCTTATTTGAAAATGCTCCAGGGGTTGGCCAGCGGGCCCCAGTGTGCGCACTACTGTTTCAGTCTGCTCAAAGTCAACGGCAGCAGTCACGGTAAGGGAGGCCACCTGCTGTCCGCGTTTGTCGCAGCATTTTTATTTGCCTTATGGTTTGGACTAGGGTTAGTGTTAGGGGTAAGACTTGGGCTAGTGTTTTAGGGTTCTAGCTAGGTTTATTACACTTATTTTATGTTTTCCTTGACATCTGCTTGACCTCCTCTTCTAAGTTATCCCCTCTGTCATGGGATTTTTGAGTTCGGCGTCACTTTCCTGTTCAAGAACTCTTGGTCATTTGTGATGCTCTCTACCCAGGTAAAGGTCCCCTTTCTAAGAGGAGGCTCAGTAGCCCTGGTGACATCCTGCACAGTGGGACCTCACAGGTTGGGGGACTTGCTGCGCTGCTCTCTCAGACACAGGTCACTCACAGTTGTCAAGGGCACACCTGGTACTCAGAGCCTGCTGCTCAAGCTGTGTGACTCCATTTGTCTTCCTAAGGACTTGTTTTCAGATCTAAGCAAGTACTGAGAGTTTTCCTCTCAGCCCTCTTCCACTTTGCTCGTTTCATTTTCCGGTGTGGGTCTGTTTGAACCCAAAAGCACTTCCCGAGGGAAGAGCAGCGTGTATCTGTCAGCCAACTGCTTTGCTAGGAAGATACTGTTCTTTTCCTCTACACAGCGGAGGAAGTAGGTCTAGAAGTGAAGTAATTTCCCCATGTTCACAGTAATTGCAGAGTCCTGTTGTCACCGAGATGGGCCAGGGTTGGGACCGTTGTCACAGTTTGCCTGGCTTGCTAACGTGCCTCACCCATCAGTGGTGATGCGCGCCATACACGCCTCAACTGTTGTCGTCTCTTTCTTTGGAACTTGACATTGAGTACTCGGCCATTACTCAGTAAGTTTCCTGACAGCACGGAGTACCTTCGGGATGTGGTTGTTAAGTGCCCTCGATTCAGTTCTGACTCACAGCTATCCTGGATAGAGTTTGAACGACCAGCCTTATGGTTAGCAGTCTAGTGCTTATCCTACATCACCAGTGGGTAACTTGACGTTCAGTACTTGGGCACCTTTTCCCGGGTGCCATCTTGTTTTTAAATGCCATCAAATCTATATCCACTCCTGGCCACCCCAGTATGTCAGAGTAGGTCATGGTCTCTATAATGAGCTCTGGTAGTGTAGTGGTTACGAATCGGGCTGCTAATCTCACGGTCACTAGTTCAAAACTACCAGTTGCTCCGCGGGAGAAAGATGAGGCTTTCTGCTCCCGTAAAGATTTATAGCCCCGGAAACCCTTTACAGGGTCGCTATGGGTCGGAACCGACGCCACGGCACATAACAAGGTAGTCCTTAAATGATCATAGAAGCTAGACTCTTGTTTAATTTTGAGAAGACATCAGGAGATATTTTGGGGTTTGGATTTAAAGATGATCTCAGGACAGTAGTTCCGGGGCTCATTGCTTCCTGCCTCCAAAACGTCTCCATAGAGTTTGAAGTGGCTGCTTTCTCACTAGGTTGTCAGGTGATTTTCCTTACCCTAACCTGGACAGTGAGCCTTGGGTAGCACCGAAGATGCATCGAATTTGAAACTTGTAGGATACTGGAACACATTGGTTGCTTTAAATTCCTTTTCCTACTCCATTTCCAAGCATGTTTTGGATGTGTACTTTTTTTTTTTTTTTACTTTTTACTGTGAATTAAGTGAAGGTTGACAGACAAGATCCTCAGTACATTCATACCCTTTATTTCATCTCCCCTACACGATGCACCAACACTTACCCCACTTCCTCCTTCTGCGTCCTATTTCCGTTCCACCCACCTTCTCATCCCTTCTCAACTTGGTCCTTAGACAAATGGTGCCCTTTTGACTTTGAATGATTGGCCATTACTAGTGTTATTGTCCCCTCAACATACCTATCTACCGCTTGGCTGAAAATTGGGCTGCGAGGGTGAGTTCATTTCCAGAAGAGGGCCACAGTCTCAGGTTGCTCCAGTATTTTTCTCACTGGTACATCTGGTCCTTTTTTTGTTTTGTTTTAAGTAGTTTTGAGTTTTGTTCCACATTTTTTTCCTACTGTATCCTGGACCCCCTGATATGATCCCTGTCAGAGCAGTTGGTAGTGGTAACCGGACACATCTAGGTCTTCAGGTCTGAGGCGTGGAGACTGAGAGCCACATGTTCCCTTAGTCCATTGGACTAACTGTCTCCAAGGATCTTCAGTTCTCATCCAGAGGTGGACATTTTTTGAATACCATTTTGTGCTGCTTCTTTGCAGTTGAAAACATTCAGGGGACGGGCGGCAGTCCCGTTTCCTGGGAGCACTTCTTCCACTCCTTGATGCTCTACCATGAGCACCTGCGGAAGGATCTTCCAAGTGCGGACAGTGTCCAGTACCGCCACCTCCCTTCACGCGGCATCACCCAGAAGGAACAGGATGGACTGATTGCTTTCCTGCAGCTGACTTCAACCGTCATCACTTGGGTAGGTGATGCTTGAAAGCATGTCTGTGTCGTAGCACAGTGGCATGTTAGTGCCTCACTGGGACCCCCCGCCCCAAGTTTTTCTGCATGCTTAAAAGCTGATGACTGGTAAATTTAGTACCTACCTAGCATTCTGTGCTGAGCCTGTTTGTTTCCTTGACCTTTAGAATGTAAAAGTGATGCTAGTTTTGCTTGATGTCATAAGCTGAGCCTGAAAATGACAGCCAGAAAGGTCAGTGAGGATCAGGTGTAGGATGGACATCCTGCTGGAAGGCTTTCTACTGGAGAGGGGGATATATGTGCGTGTGCTGGTGTGGGTGTGTGTATCAAGGTGTTTTTTTCTTTTTAATGTTTTATTGTGAATTATGTAGTAGTTTATATGGGAGAACATTAGCTTTATAAAGTATATTTTAAATTAAAGCTATTCACGGAATTCTTTTCTTTTGTTGTCTTATACCATATCATTTTACAAAATGTCACCAAGTTCAGTTTTGCAAAAATACTCTGCTCAGAAATATCTCCTTGTGTTTCCCTACTTTTGTTTCCCTACTTTTCACTGGTACAAAGGCAAGGTGTTCAACCTGATGTTGCTTCTGAAGGATAGGGCTACGGGCTCTAGCTTGCTGGGTTTCTGACGATGCATTCATTATGCAGCTTGCACATAAAGTTAGTGATGATCTCTCCTGGAGGTGGGATGGAGTGATACCTGATACTTAATACCACCTGCCTCCATTTTTCTTTTTTTTTTTTTCAGAAAAAGACAAAGGATTTATTTATCTGTTGATCCGTACTGCTTATTAACAGTATAATATATTGCATTGTTCCAGAACTCATTTTATTTTTATTTTTTATATTTCTTAATGGTTTATTGTGAATTACGTGATAGTTTACATGCGAGAACATTAGTTTTACATTCACCTTATTGTATATCATTTCATTGCCATGGTTACAATCCCCTCTGTGCATAATCAATCAACCAAATGGTACACCCTACAAGCCTGCCCCCCGGTTGTCAGCACATAGCCCCTCTCCCTCTCTGGGTCTAGAGTCCCCAGCCTCTCCATCTCTGCCTCCATCTCTGGCATCACTGCTTCTTTGAGTAGGGTTCTGCTCTCCGCTCTTCTCCCTTGATCTTCCCAGGGACCTCCACTCCTAGACTGAAAAGTTAATCACTCCCCTCCTTTTGCTACAAAATGTCTTCCTTTACATTTCCAACCCTCACAATTAGTCCTGATAATAATTATTCACTGTTGTATCACAAGAGATCCATCCGCATTTCCTTTAATCAGCCCCGCCCAGACAGATTGGATACTACTCAGTGGAGATTCTACCTTCCTCCACGCCCTCTGGATCTAGGCTCCCTCTTGAAAGCTTGTAAGCCAGTCACTTCTTGCCTTTGTAGCCACCATTTTGGGTAGCCAATGTCCAAGTTGCCCATCCCTGTCTACTCTGTATGGAGGGAGTGGGAATGATCCTCACTGTAAAGATTTGTTCCCGCTCTTGAGCTACTGCATCCATAGGTGTAGGTCAGGTTCATCAAATTGTATCAGATTACTCTGTTTTTCCTCTTCTTTCTTCTTCTAGTTGAGCTCTGATCATCCAGTCATTGAAGCCAGGTCAAGTGGGTATTATCTGCAAGTGTGGATGTTCTTCTTATCAGCTGGACACTTCACTCTCCACTCTAGTCCTCTGTGGCTATGCCACTGACTCTGGGCCCAGGAGTCCCCAGGTGTTGCCATACTGCTGGCCAACCAGGTCTCTACCCGAGTTCACAGGAGTCTATTGAGCGTTGTAGGGCTTAGCTCACCGCTTCATTGCTGTTTTTCCCTCACCTCCCCTTATCAGTGACGAATGTGGTCACCAATCAAAGTGTGCATTCCCATTGAGTCTTAGTTTTGGAAGGGGATTTGTCCTGAGGGGGCCCGACCACTTGCCTTGGTGTCTCCTGGCCGAGCAACTTGCTTGTTCTTATAGTAGTCAGTTGGACTGCAGTTAGGACTGCCGTTACTGTTTTGTATTTTTCCTGTCAGTCTTTCTTTCAAGAAGTATTTTCTGTTCTTCTAGCTGCTCCAGGCTGGTCTGCTTGTCCTTTCAAGTGGAGATTTCCCACCTCAGAAGATTCTGGATGCTGTTCAGCCTTCCACCTATAGTCTTGTGTATTGCTTCCTGTGGAGCCTCCTTCACTGGGCATGCTTTAGCCCCATTTTAGGTTTCCAATCAATTAATATGCAGAAGATGGACTTACAAGCTTTCTATGGTGATCAGAAATCATTTTATTTTAATTGCCTAATTGTCTGTCTGTACTATTTTCCGTATTGGAGCTGGAAAAGTAACTCTACAAAGTCTCTTCCTCCTTCATTCCTTCAGCTGAAACAGTGGTGGCCTTCAACCTACTCGCTAGGCTCATCTCTGTTTTAGTTTGCGTTAACTGTCTGAGTGCTCAGAAGACATGCCAGGGATTTAGATGGCGTGCCTGACTTCTTCCCTGTGCTTGCTTTCCTGCATGTAACCCTCAGAGTGAGAACGCTCGTCTGGCTCTCTGCGAACACCCCCAGTGGACCCCAGTGGTTGTGATTCTGGGCCTCCTGCAGTGCAGCATCTCTCCCGTCCTGAAAGCGGAACTGCTGAAGACCCTCGCGGCTTTTGGGAAATCTCCTGAGGTTGCTGCTTCCCTCTGGCAGTCATTGGAATACACTCAGGTAGTATGATGAGCACTCTGATTGCCGATACATTTAGGAAGGGGGACTTGATAATGCAATTTAGGTGCACTCTGCTCACAGTTGTGCGCATTCCCGTGAACTAGAAACCGAGCCTCACGCCCTGGGCTAGTAGTCTCGCACTGGATCACTGGAGACTCATTCTTCATATAGCTCTCGGCAGCTTTGTCTTCTATAGTCTGCAAGCATTCCTCAGCTCTGGCTTTAAGTTCGGAGTAAACCTTTTTTTTTTTTTTTTTTTAATATATTTGCAGTCATAAATGGCAGGAGTGCACCTTTGTCTTTCCATCGCATGTCAAAAGAACAAAGTACGTCTATATATCTGTGCTTTGTCATTGTGGTGTTTCTTGCTGAAGGGAAGGGTCACTACCTACTAAGTCTGCACGGCAGTTTTCGTAGCAGCTGCAAGAGTTTTGTTGGTACTGTGGTCTTGACCTTGGGCAAACATGGGCACATGTTGGAAGGAATTTCTGACTTCTTCACACTTAGGACTATATATATGCTGATGTGAGAGGGAAAATCTGTGGGTTGATAATGATGTTTGAATCTCAATGAATTATAAACTTTTCTTTCTCAACTGGTATTTTTCTGTCAAGTGGAATTCAAATATGTTCTGAAGTCAACAAGGAAGTAAACAAGGATGTGCTTTATCTCTAGGAGTGAGAAGTACGTCTAGAAGTGGTTTGGAGCAATCTATGTCTAAGGCTTCATAGACTGGAAGCCAGCCGGCCTTCCTAACTCATTACTCATAGTTAGAAGCAACCATTTTGAAGCACTGAAATATTTTCGATACCTTTCTAATGCCTGAAGATGTGAGGCTTGTTTTCAGAGACAGCATGAGTGGAGTTGGTGGGGGCTGAGGGGCCGAGATGAATGCTTCACTCTGAGCCCAGACTCAGGAAGAAGCAGTGTCCCGAGTGCCTCACACTGCTTTATGCCACAGATGAAGTGGTCCTGGGTGTAGACCTTTCTATTCTCAGAGCCATGCCATGTTTTGAAAATAAAGTGTCTTGAGTGTCTTAGGCACCTAACATAAGCTCAGGAAGGAGCATCTTAACTCAGAGCTGCTCACTGCAGGCAGCTGATTCTGACTATGTTTACATTGTGATCTCTCTGGTGCCAACGGTAGGGAAGATTGTATATAGACCAGTGTCATACAGACCACTGGAGTTTCATCCCATAAATCCTTTAAGGATTCATTCCGAGAATATCTGAAGGGAATGTTGCTGGGGAAAGTATCTCTCTGTGTGCACTTAGAAAATGCCACTTACACCAGGTAAGTGGCAGCTGGGCTTGAACCTGACATGCGTGTTAGACAGCATCCCTCACCTACTTGCCTTTAGGTGTGTGGACACCATGGGTGGGCTGATGATTATCGTGTTGTGAAGTCCCTGCTATTCACCTAACATCTCATTCCTCTTGTTTTCAGATCCTGCAGACTGTAAGGGTGCCAAGCCAGAGGCAATCTATTGGTATTGAGGTAAAGTTTTCTTTTAGTTAGGATGCTAAAAATGACGCAAAATGATCTGACCCTATTTGAATTTATTTTCATCTGAAGGGTTCTGGCCAGTGTTGAAATGGAAACGAAACTCTCAGAGAAAGGAACCAAGATAATTCTGGTTTCCTATCAGGGTTTGAACTCACTTGAATGAGGTCACTTGGGTTATTCCGCAGTGAGAGTTGACTTGTTTTCATTGTCTTTACTTCTTTCTCCTCACCTTGTTTTTTGAAGAAATATTTAAGGTTTCTGTTCTTAATTCAAAGTCACTAACAGAATCTGAGAATTTGACATTTTTCCATTTGATGGGCAGGGATTCAAAACAGTACTTTTTTGAGTCTTTTCCCCTCAATGAAAATTGGTAGTATCTGTTATGTGTCTTTGGGTCATGTGGTTTTATGGCCATATGAGTGAATGTAAAAGGCTGTGGGCTCTGCAGCTGATAACTCTATCTTACCAACTTTAATGTCTTTGTCTTTATTTTCCTTTGGAAGGTTGAGCTGAATGAAATCGAGTCCCGGTGTGAAGAATATCCCCTGACTCGGGCCTTTTGCCAGCTGATCAGTACCCTGGTGGAGAGCTCGTTTCCTTCTAATTTGGGGGCTGGACTGCGGCCTCCTGGCTTTGACCCCTATTTGCAGTTCCTTCGAGATTCTGTGTTTCTCCGATTCCGCACGAGAGCTTACCGGAGAGCGGCTGAAAAGGTTGTTACGAGGAGAGCTTTTTTCCTCCTGATTCATTCACTGTTGCTTGTTCCTTTATTAAAGAGCGAGAGAAAGAGCTGTATACTCATTTTAGCTTTTGAGAAAGAGTACAATTCATATGCTTGATTTAGAAATGGCCATGGGCTTGTTGGTTGATGAACAATATCACGTGAACCAGAACAGTGGCTTTTTAACTAGGCTGAGTTCATAGTCACTTAGGTCTTTAATGGAACCAAGTTTGGCCATTGGAAATGCACGTAGCCCTTACTGGGCTGATTTAGGTTAGAGATTAGGTGAGTGTAAGCCCACACCCCAGTTTCGGTCAAGTAATTCTTCTGGGCTATGGAGCGGTGGCCAAGTTGGAAGCAGTATTGAGAAATGTTAGGCATTGCTACCAGGTCTTGGAACCAAGGGCGTACTGACGTTCAGGCAAGGACTGTTCTGGGTGGAAGACACCCAACCTGAGCTTACCGTAGGCATCATCTGAATGTAATGCCATTATAACCATGAGGCAGGTGCTATTAATATTCCCATTTTACAGATGGAGGCTTAGCAAGGTTAAGGAACTTGCCTAAGGTCCAGGACCAGGATTTGAACCTAGGACTCTGATTCCAGATCCAAGCTCCTAACCACTAAGCTATGTAAGAGACCTTTTCAGGTTCTGACGTACTTCATTTTAGTTGATAATGCTGTTTAGTGCCTCACAGGATATACCCACAGATGGATCTTATAGAGACATTTTTGCCTCATTTTTCTAGTTTGTTTTTTTTTTGAACCTATTGGGGCTATTCTTTTTGTTTGTGTTTGTATTTAAATGATTATAAAAGTAATTGGGGCAATTAAGAAAATAGAGAAAACTTAAGGAGAAATGATATTACCCTTAATCCTATTGCCAGAAGTTAACTACTTTTCGTGTTTTTCCTATGCTTACATACTTAGGTTGAGATAATTAGCAATATTAATTGATAATTCATTTTTTGCTACTTAGCATAGTGTCATGGGAATTGTTTTCATTTCCTGGAAGATCCTTTGACAGGTTTAATGGCTGTATCACATCCATTACTTGAATCTCCCATAGTGTATTTCCTCGTTGCTCTATCATTGAGAGAAGTGACAGTTTGTCAGTTGCTTATAATTGTTTACTTACCATGTTGTAGAAGTAAATGCCAAGAGGACTGCACGCTTTGTTAACATATATTTTCTAATTCAATGAAATAGTAACTGCACCCAGGCATTGGTACTAAGTCATTTCAGATGAATCATGGTTCCTGAGAGTTCGGAGCTCCTTCACAAAATGCTCTGCACTGTCTTCAGTGTCTTCCTTCCTAAAACGGTCATTGTGACGCGAGGCTGCAGCGCTCACTCTGCAGGTCTCATTACTTCTCCGCTGAGCATGTGTGTACCCTCGAGTGCTACTACTCTTTTCCTGACGACCATGGATTTCAACCCCACAAAACATCCCCTCCGTTTTGTGACTTTAGTTCAGTATTGGAAGTCATCGTGAGGCTGAACTTGTATTACCTGTGTGTGAGGTGCTCTGGATTAAGACTCCTAGGTAACCTAGCATGATAGAGGCAGTGCATATATTATGGACTCCTGGTGTGGATCAGCACTTGACTGTGAACCACAAGATGAGCAGTTCAAACCTACCAGCTGCTCTTCAGAAACCCTATATCAAACAGGGACGGTACGAGTTGGAATGGACTTGACGGCACTTAACAACGACAACAATGTTATCATGGGGTCCTGTTGTAGTGTAAGGTCAGCAGTTCAGACCTACCCACCGCTTCTTGGAAACCCTGTTGTTGTTAAGTGCCGTGTAGTCGGTTTGATTTAAAGTAATCCTGATAGGGTTTCCAAGGAGCAGTTGGTGGGCTTGAACTACTGACCTTCTGGTTAGCAGCCCAGCACTTATCTTGCTTCTCCTTCAATGCCACACTAGGAATCCTGTACAGGATCGCTATGAGTCGAAACCGTATCAACAACAAACTCATTATATATGTTGTTGTTGTTAAGTGCCATCGAGTCAGGGGCTTCAAAAAGTTCGTGGAAAAATCCCATTATCTTTCAATTCCATTTTTTCCATGAACTTTTTGAAGCCCCTTTCTATTGAAATAAATAAATTTCCTGGACAAATTGGGGAAAATATAGAAAAATGGAATAATTAAAAAAAAATCTAGCAATCTCATTTCCCAAACACATCTTTGATAAAATGATGTGCAGTGAAAATTATGATTTTTTTAAATCATTGTTAAAAACCCACCATGCATTCCGTTCCCACATCCAGCTGTATTAAAAATTGACAGAATGGGTTTTTAAAAACCAGGTTTAAGTTTACAACATGCACAGATGTGTCTATCAATCTATTTTTCCCTTTGTCAGAAATACATTTCCTTGTTATGTACCTTTAAAACATCTTTCTAATGGAGAGGTAAGAATGTGGCCAGTGGGTTGTGGCCATTTGGGGTGTGTCTCCCCGTTGCCAGTGTCTACTTCACTTCTCTGGTTAGAGCCAGAAGATGGGCACTAGTCTGGGAATTTGAGGACCCGCTTGGCTTCCATGTTGCCAAGCATCACGCTCTGGCGTTGGTCCACTGCTTGGAGTACCACTTGCTTTACTTGTGAACTAAGGGTAGTTAGGATTGAGGATGATCACTGAGTTTCCCACTGGATTCTTAGGGGAAATGTGCAGTATTCCACACTTAGGAGAATTCCTCACGTCTGGTGTTGTTTAATGATAAATACAACTACATACTAAGGGAGCCAACATTTATACATTTGCTAATGGAGCCAACATATCTGCTTTAGAAATGTTTTTAAAAGTGGTGCTTTTTAAAATGGCGTGCCCATGAAAAATTAGCTAATTCATTATCCTTTAGCCAAAATAAAGCATTAAAAAAAATAAAAAGTCCTGTAGCATCAATTGCTAAAGTAGATGAGGGGCTTCCCTCATTGTGGGGGTGACGGAAGTTTCTGCCTCTTTCTCTAGTGGGAAGTGGCTGAGGTGGTTCTGGAGGTGTTTTATAAACTGCTCAGAGATTATGAGCCGCAACTTGAAGACTTCGTAGACCAGTTTGTGGAACTGCAAGGTAAGTGAATTCTGTCATTTTCAAATCAGAGTTAGAATTTCACCTCATCTGTCACATTCGTAGTAGTGGTTTCTGTTGAAAGAAAATAAAATGAAACATAACTGAAAGTAAGGCCAAGGACGCCACCTTTCTCATTCTCGCCTGAGCTAACTAGCGTGGGACAGGGACGGTGTGCTGACCAGCCCGTGCGGGTTGCCACGGGATACGATTAGTGGCATTGTGTTGAAGTTGAAAGTTGTCTGCATCTGCTTTTAGATGCATTGAGAAATCACATACATGAAAATCAAAAGCATGACAAAAACATGAGTTCACCTCCCCTTGACTGTGTTGTATTCTCTTCAGGAGAAGAAATCATGGCCTACAAGCCCCCTGGCTTCAGTCTGATGTATCATCTTCTCAATGAGTCACCCATGTTGGAGCTGGCTTTGAGTTTACTGGAAGAAGGAGTAAAGCAGCTTGACACGTATACCTCTTTTCCTGGTACGTGCCGAAATGCCTTTATGTTATGTGAACAGTGGGTGATTTCATCCTTTGTAAAGTGAGGGTTTGAAGTGGATTGTCACTGAAGCACTTTCCACAGTCAGACTGTCTGTATCTGTTGTGGTGGGGTCAGCGGGCCAGCCAGTGGAAATGTCCTGTGAGAAGAGACCTCATTGGAGCGGTTTGTTTATTGCTCACCACAGGGTCATGTGTTGTTGTTGTTGTTAAGCCCATTGACTTGATTCTGACCCATAGCAACCCTGTGTAGCGTTTCTAAGGAGTGACTGACTGGTGAGCTTGAACTACCGACCTTGCGGTTCAAACCAACTTTGCAGTCCAGCGCATTAACCCACAGCACCACACCAGGATGTCTACCAGGGTCTTGTGTAGGTGGTTAGAATTCTCTTCAAAGAACCTTAGTGATGCAGTAGGTTAGTGTGGAGCTGCTAACTGTAAGGTCAGTGGTTCAAACCCACCAGCTGCTCCCCTGGAGAAAGATGAGGCTGTCTGCTCCTGTAAGGATTTCTAGTCTCGGAGACCCTGTGGGGCAGTTCCACTCTGGATCTATAGGCTTGCTCTGAGTCCGAAGTCACTCAGTGTCAGTGGGTGTCATTCTCCTTGTATCACTTCAATCTGCTGACCTGTAAATGTAACTGACACTTTGTTTCCCAGTAGTATTTGTAAAAGCTCTCACTGTAGTTCCTGATACATCGTAACTGTTCAGTAAGTTTTAGTTTAGTATTACTACTAAGACTCCTTTTAGTCCTGGTGTGGCGCTGGAGGATAAATTGGACTGCAAGGTCAGTTTGAAAGGTCGGTGGTTCAAATCACCAGCCACTCCATGGAAATCCTATACAGCGTCGCAATGAGTCAGAACTGACTCAAAGGCACTTAACAACAACAACAACAACAACAGCTGAGACTCCCGGTATGGTGCTGTAGGATCAGCACTGAACTGAGAACCACAAGGTCGGCAGTTCAAACCCACCAGCTGCTCCTTGGAACCCCTATTCAGGGTTGCTGTGAGTTGCAACTGACTGAGCCACACTAAATGAAAACAACAACCAGGCCCTAACATTCATTGTGTCTTGTTTGAAGTTTTTGTTGTGAATTGGGTGAAGAGTGACAGAGCCTATTAGTTTTCCATTCAACAATGCATGCACGTTTTGTTTCAGTCCTAACATTTCGTGATAGCTCACTGTGCACCCGGCTCTTGTATAAGCAGAATGCACATGTGAACTCATTCTACACAGAAGCCCTAGTGGTAGGTCTTAACTGTTTTCATTTCACAGCTGAGGTAACTGAAGCAAAACATGGTTACACATTTTTTCCCAGGAAGACTCAGCTGGGATTTGAACTTAGACAGCTAGGCTCCTGGTGCAGGCTCTTTACCACCCTGCTATAGTGCCTCCTCTCAAGGTGGTTGCACTGTAAATGAGATCAGCGTGTGAGCTGTAACTGGAATCAGAATGTACAGATAAGCAACTGGAAAGAAATGGGCTACAACATTACCTTTGAATGATAGGCTTATAGATGACCCTGCTTTGTATTTTCTGTTTGTTACTTCCCAGATTTTCCACAATGAGTATCCATTCCTCTAAATCAGAGCTTCTGGGCACTGGTGGTGTTTGTTGTTGTTGTTGTTGTGTGCCGTGGAGTCGGTGGTGTTTGGGGCTGAATAGTCCTTTGTTGTGAGTGCTGTTCTGTGTCCAGTAGACCTCTGCTCACTAGATGCTGCTAATACTTCCCCTCTGATGACAGCCAAGTGTCTCCAGACTTGGCCAGATGTCCCCTGAGGGACATACCCCTGGTTGAGACCAATGATCAGGGAAGAAATGAAGAAGTGACTCGAGAAAATCATCTTATGAAAGTCATCTGACCCCCAAGTCACCCCAAAGTGTGAAAAGCTGGCAGCCTTTTCAACCTAGAACGTGCCCTTGATCTTGTTCCCCTAAGATGTGACTCTACGTTCCTAAGGTGAATTTGGGGTCTTTCTAAGTCCAGTTTTGGTTGGTAGGGAAGAAACATTTGGAAAGAGCAGTTCAGCATTGCCTGGCCCTTCTCAATCTGACTCTGCAAAAGGAGACTCACTTCATGGACCTTCTACGGGAGAGTCAGTTGGCACTGATAGTGTCTCCTTTAGAACAGCTGTTACAGGGCATCAACCCCAGAACCAAGAAGACGGACAACGTGGTGAACATTGCCAGGTAAGTTACGCCTGGAGGTACAGAAAGGGGGAAATGGACACTGCTTTGATTCCTAGTCAGCTTCAATCCCTGTCCTTGGGATGGAGAGTCGAGGGTGGGAGGAAGTGACTCATTTTTGTCTTCCCTGCCCCTCTGGTTTTAATGACTCTGAGCCTCACCATTTCTTTTCTTCCTATTTTATGTCCTAAAAATGTCTAAACCTAAATGGTCTGTCTCCTGCAGGGAAATTGGATGTTTGCGTGATAGGGATGGGGAGTCAACTGGTCTCCATATATGGTGGTTATTGGTTCGGACTCAGCCTCTCTGTGTAGTGTTTCACAGGCTAGAAAGCTTTACAGGAGCAGAAAGCCTCCTCTTCCTCCTGCGGAGTGGCTGGTAGATTCCAACTGCTGATGTTGTGATTAGCAACCCAACTCAGACTCCACTACACTACCAGGCCTCCATATAGATGCATTAGAGGGTATACCAGCTGCTCCTCAGAAACCCTATACAGGGTTGCTGGGAGTCACAATGACTTGAGGGCATTATATGTGTGTGTGTGTGTATATATATATATATAAAATATACATGTATAAAAGAGAGAAAGAGAGTGAGTCCTGGTGTGGTTCTGTAGGATCAGCACTGGACTGCTAAGCACCAGGCCAGCAATTCAAACCCACCAGCCACTCCTTGGAGACTGATTTGATGGCTCTTAAGAACAATGTGTGTGTGTATATATATCTCCTCTAATACTACCACTACTAAATCAACAAGGTGACTATTAAATGAAGAAATTTTAAAAAAACATCATAATCATTTTCCCTTTTGTAAAGGAGAGTCACAAGTTAGTAGGTGTGATCATCCATTGCGTTTCTGTTAGACATTCGCAGCTTAAGAGGGAAGGTATTTCTTTAGTACTAAAGACTCAGAAATATCCCCAAGTTGTTTGGTAACAGATTTGCCTTAGCATTTGGCCCTCGTCCTGTTCAAGTAATAAGAGATGTGTAATGTACAAAGGAGCTGAGGTGGCGCAGTGGCAAGTGCTCAGCTGCTAATGGAAAGGTTAGTGGTTCGAACCTGTAGCTGCCCCTTGGGAGAAACAAGAGGCTGTCTCCTGGAAAGGTTCCAGCCTTGGTGACCCGGTGGGGTGATTCACCCCCATCCTCTGGTCAGAGTCCACTCCATGACAATGGGTCCAATGTATGAAGGGTGAATGTGACCTTTGTTCATAAAAATAAATGACTGAAACTTATATTTAATTGTAAAACAAAAATTGGAATCAAGCTAATGATTCGATACAAAATGACTAAATAGGCGATGAAATGCTATATCGTTGCTACAGTTCTTATTTTAAAGGCATTTTTAATAATTTGGTAAGATGGTTGTAAAACGTTAACTATAAAAGCAGAGCAAGCGACTGAGCTACAAGTGGCTCTCTCAGAGTGCGTGCTGACTTTGATTTCTTCTTTGTGCTTTTTTTTGATCCTGAACATATATATGTTAATGCAGTTACTAGAACATTTATTTCTTGTTGCGGATGTCACATGGTCGGCCAGTTACCTACTCCGTCCAGGACTTCTGGCTGGTGGGATGAGCTGTGGGCCAGGCTGCATCCCCATAGAGTGCTGCCTGGGCCCCGGAGGCCCTGGTTCTCCATGCTCTTTGCATCTCCCATGTGTCTGAGCAAAACACAACACGCTCGAACTTCCCCAAGCTGTTTGAAGAAGTAAGCAGAGCTTACAGCAGGTCTCCAAGCATCACTGCCCACCTGCCTGATCGTCCACAGCCAGATGTTTACGTGACTGTGGCAGGACTGGCAACCTTCCACCCCACCCTGCCCCATGGCTCCCTCACTGGTCACGGCGACGACAAAGACAGATCCCCAGATTAGCTTTTAAGCAGATAGCTGATGGAGCCACTGTCCTGTCTTGTCTCATCACATTGTTCTTCAGCTGTATTCTCATTTTCAAGGTATCTCTACCATGGCAACAGCAGCCCCGAGTTGGCATATGAGAGCGCCAAGATCCTCTGCTGTATCTCTTGTAACTCCAACATTCAGATAAAGCTGGTTGGCGATTTCACTCAGGACCAGGTAACTGATTGTCGTCCTGTTTGGGGTGCATTCTGCCTACATCCAGAGTCACCGTGTTCGTGGAGACATTGTGATCTTGTTAGTGGAAACATCCTCCAGTAGGAGGTAAATTCACATCCTGTGTTTGGGGATCAGACTATTTAAGTGCTGAGTACATACGCGTGGCTCCGTAGCCTAGCGTAAGTGTTGCAGCTCCAAGCTCAGTCAGGTGGTCAGGTGGTAACTAACACTGCTGCTTGTGCTTTCTGCCTCAGTTCTGAGGGGGCGGCTTTTGCGGTCTTCCAGTGGTCCATGTCTGTGGCCGTTCCTGTGATCTGAAACTGTAGAGGGTTTTATGTGTTCGCCTTCCACTTGGACTAGTTCTGTGTCTGTTCACTGGATAGCAGCAGGTGGGGAAGCTGCTGGAGCGCCCTCGCTGTGGACATTTATCCCATCAGGCCTTTAAGTGGAGCCTAGGAGGCACAGAGCTGAAGTGCTAACTGACAGGTTGCTGGTTCAAACCCACCAGCCTCCCTGCTTCTGTAAAGATGGCAACTTTGGAAACCCTATTGAACAGTTCTCCTTTGTCCTACAGTGTTCCTACAAGTCATCAGGTAGAAGGCAATGAGCGTGGTTTTTTGGGTATCTCTGTGTTGGACATCAGTGCGTTAGTTGGGGGAAGGATCTCATTGTTTCCTCTTCCACAGTGTTTTAAGCTGTTGTGGCTTTGGGTGAGATGGGTCTGCACTTTGTGTATTAACTGTTCCTCATGTTGCAGAACTTTTAGCAGCCCTCGTGCCTTGTTTACTATCTGTGAGTCATGCCCTCCATTCTGAATGCACCCACAAGTGTTGTTACTTCCCGGGTGAAGGACCACTGTTCATGATAGTCAGTTAATGTCAATCTGTGACTTCTGGGTGAGCATCATGAAATTGCCCAGGAAATGCATGGCATCTGTCATTATTGGATATTGACATTGATGTTTTTTTGTTAGCTGCTGGCATTCATCTCACTGTAGCTTGTTGGTACCAATTTTAACATGTTGCCAGACTCCTAAAGAATATGAGGGTCTCCCACGTCTCTGCCCAGAAGTGTAATACTGGTGATGGGCAGCAGCTTTCCAAAGAGAGAAGATGACATGAAGGTTTATCTGATGCCTTAGTCAAGAGCTCATAGCATTGGGCAGATAATGAAGTGGTCATGAGACAGCAGTTTGTTAATGTTGAAAATAGTTTGGTTCTTTGGAAGGAAAGTGAACCTTGGAAACCAATAAAGTTTTGACATTAAGCATTGGACTGTAAATCACGAAGTGGGCGGTTTGAGTCCATCAGCTGCTCTGTGGCAGATAGATGAGGTTGTCAGCTCGTGCAGCCTTGGAAACCCTCTACAGGGCTGCAGTGCGTCGAAACCGACTCGTTGTCACATAGCAATGACAAACAACATAGGCAATTTAAGGAACTGATGTTTCTGTGACTTTAAACAAATAACTAAAACCTTAGTATTTTATTTGGAGAGGATTTGCTTTTTATTTTTACAGTTAAATGTTTATAAATGTCTATCATATTTAGAAGCTTGTTTATGATTTGTCGTTTTCTGTTTATCTGGTGTCAGAGTGTAAGTCAGAAGCTGATGGCTGGCTTTGTGGAGTGTCTGGATAGTGAAGATACTGAAGAATTTGTACGTCTGGAAGACGGTATGTGTGCCTTTGATGATTGTGCAAGCATTTGACATAAATACTTGCTATTAGGGAAGGAAACTAAACTGTAAGAAACATTGGGAATTGGTTAGAGTAAATGTATGTTTTGGGGGAATCTTTTGTAACAGATCTGAAACCAAAGTAATGGCTAATCAGGCGAACTAAAACATATATATATATATATATAGGAAATTTGGAATAAAAGTTTTATATTTTAAATAGGGACTTATGCTAACTTTGCATCATTTTGTAACTTTGATTTCCAAATTCAGGATCAGAATCTGAGAAGAAGTTAGTGATGATTCGTCACGAAACAAGAATCCACATCTTGAATCTTCTCATTACTTCTCTGGAGCGCAATCCACCCAACCTTGCTCTCTACCTGCTGGGCTTTGAGTTAAAGAAACCCGTCAGTACCACAAACCTGCAGGACCCAGGTACGGCCACCAACACGCAGGCATTCATAAACCTCTATCTTCTTATTTGTGTATGAAGTGTCATGTGTTGGCTTCTGGCCTCATGGGATCATTCACTGAAAGAAGGAAAGAATGTATAAAAGGTGATGGGATGGCTGATTTTAATACTTTGACCAAGACGTGACCAAATGAACCTCAGACAATTAGCGTTTATCTGTTTTCTGTGTGACTGAGAGGACATTTCTGAGAGTGTGTGTTTATAGAATGTAACCTTTGTAGAGGTCATTGTAACAGTATGACACCAGCCATTTCTCTCGTGGTACTCTACTCAACTGGGCTGGATACTTCACAGAACTCACACACCTTCCTCCCAGTTCCGAGGTTTATTAAGAAAAGTTAATAGGTTACAAGTCAGGGTTAGAAATGCTTCTAGCAGTTTTTCCATTCATACAGGCCTCTTTCTGTCCAGCCAATGTTACAAAGCTCTTCAGGGCACAGCCTTCATGAAGGCACTCAGCTTGAAGGCATTTGGCTCTAGCTCGGTGGCTCAGCAAACCTAGCGCACACCCCCGTTAACTGCCTGGAGGTACCCCACTCTGTAAGGAAGCCTCCTGCCCAAAGCCACTCAGTTTTACTCACTCCGTGGGCTGGGAAGAAACCCGCTGCTCCGGCTCATGCTGTGGCTTTTGGTTCTGATGCTGCTTTTCGTTTGTCACTCCTCCGGTGTCATGCCTTTCTGTCCCTGGGTAGAGGAGGCTCAGCGCACAGGGTTCTCAGGACCCAGAGGACGCACTCCTCCCCTGACTCTTGTTCTTTGGTGACAGTGAGATTCTTTTCTCCTGCTTCTGAGATAGCTCATTGTAAGCCCTTCAGGATGATAATGTTGACCAATCCCCTCATTCGATTTCCAAATGTTTACAGTTTGTTGTTGTGAAGTGCCATCAAGTCTGTTCCAACCCATAGTGACTCTGTAGTGTTTCTGAGGAGCAGCTGGTGAGCTTAAACCGGCGACCTTGCAGTTCAATGGCTTTGCAGTCTGGTGCATTAACCCACAACCCCACGCCAGGTCCCCAGTGTTTACAATTACTATCCTGTTACAGTCACTCACATGTGAATCATATTATCTGTTAGCATTTAGCCCCATCTGCTGTTTGTTACCAAGACCTTCAGGAAAATGTCATTTTGTGGCAGTTTATAAAGACAGTGGCTCAAACAAACATTGAAGAATTCACTACACTGCAACCATTACAGTTTTTAATGCAGACATTGGTTTGTTTGTTATTTAAAAAGTTGACTTTCATTTTGATGATGTGCAGGAGTGCTGGGTTGCCCAAGGACGTGCCTTCACGCCATCTTAAACATCTTGGAGAAAGGAACCGAGGGCAGAACCGGTCCAGTGGCAGTGAGAGAGTCTCCTCAGCTCGCTGAGCTGTGTTACCAGGTAACAGGAGATGGTGCTGGGGAGAAACTTCACTAGATGTTCCAGCACACTGCAGCCCTGAGTCTCGTAGACTGACTTCAATGAGTTCATTTAGTAGTCTGACCAGTCTCTTGTTTGTAGGTCACATCCGTAAAGCACAAACCCTAAGAACTTGTTGATCCAAAGATATGCTGACCACTTGAAAAATGTGGGAAGTGGGATTTTTGTCATGAATTTTGATCGGGTGGTATCAACACTGTGCTGGCTCCTGTAGCTTTTTGGTGAAGAAGTAGTGGATTTGGGTGAGAGCTCTGGGCCCTTAACTAGCCAGACAACTTGGACTTGCTGTGAGTCTTTTGAGTCTCAGAAACTGTAACCTGTGAAAAGGGCTCTTGGGAGCCTTTGATGCCAAGATAGTGACAGAACCCTTTAAGCCCTTTGAAAATGATGAAGTCGTACACCTGTATGAGGTGGTTGTTGTTGTTGTTGTTAAGTGCCATCGAGTCGGTTCCGACCCATAGCGACCCTGTACAGGGTTTCCGAGGGTGTAAATCTTTACGGGAGTAGAAAGCCTCATCTTTCTCCCACGGAGCAGCTGGTAGTTTCAAACCGCTGATCTTAAGGTTCGCAGCCCGATTCGTAACCATTATGCTACCAGAGCTTCCTTATGTATGAGGTGGTAGAGAGTCAGATTTGTATATAAAGTAGAATGAGAACTTTGCTTTGCGTATTGACTTTAGTTTATTGTTTTACTGCTGTTATAAATATTTTAAGGACTGCTTTATAAGGGAGCTCTGGAGGCTTCGTAGAAAGCTTTACGGTCTCGGAAACCCTTGGGAACTAATGTCCCTGTCAGAGTCGATTCCACAGCAGTGGGCATGGGTTTGGTGCTTCTTAAGATGTGATGAGGGTCTCCATGTAAGTGGCAGCCCGATTCCCATTTTGTATCCGAAACACATCATTCTCTTCTAGTGGCAGGGGCATTTCCGCTGGTTACCCTCCAGGGCCTACTTAAAATTCAGAACTTAGGTTTGACGTGTGTGTGTACCTGCTTTTCTTGATTGTTGCTGGGTCTTTGTTTCTGCTGAGTAGATCTATGTTCATATTTTCCATTTTAACAACACTGACTTGGTGTTCTCGTGGTGGATTTCATTCTTCAGGTGATCTATCAGCTGTGTGCCTGCTCCGAGACATCTGGCCCCACTATGAGGTACTTGAGAACCAGCCAGGATTTCTTATTCTCTCAGTTGCAACATTTGCCTTTTTCTAACAGAGGTAAGAACTGATTTTCCCTTATTATTGTATGACAGATTATTAAGTCCAAGGTCGAGTGATTTTACTCAAGTGCTGTTTTGGGGAGGAGTTGTAGGGTCTGTGAAATTCTGGTTTCATTTGAGTCGCTTCAGTTGCTTTATCACCTTGGGTCACTTTTTTGTGAGTGTTGAGTAGTCTGATTTTGTAACTGCTGGCAGTCCTGGTGTGATGCTCTAGGACCACAAGGTTGGCGATTCAAACCCACCAGGTGTTCCTCAGAAACCCTATCTATACAGGGTTGCTGTGAGCCGAAACCAACTCGACAGCACTTAACAATATCAGTAAAATTAGTGAAACACATCATCAAGGATGGACTTTGGCTCTTTTACTAGCAAATAAAAAATTGAAGATTGCGTTTGAAGGGACAAGAAGATTCTGGAAATGTAGATTCACAAATGAAAATGGCTTAATGAATTTTCCTGTGTGTCCTGTGTACAGATGGCAGGCAATTCATGTTTTCAGATGAAGAGTAGACCCTGACCATGGTGGACATCATTTATGACTGAGGTTATGGGCGTGACCATTACCCCAGGCTCCTAACTGTGCTGTACCAGGATGCTGCTTTATGCTGTTTTCTTTTCGAATGATCTTGAACGATTTTTACATTCAGATTATAACCAGACAGTGGTAGATTCTTGTGTTCTTTCAGTCTTCATGTTTAGGAAGTCTGTACGTAAACAATTCTGGTGACCAGTAACTGTCAGCCTCCAGTTCATGTTTTAGAGTGATGATGGTTTGAGACCCTTGGAACTTACCTATTCTATCTAATTTAGAAGAAAAACTGTTTCTTTCCCTATGATGGTATCTGTTTTACAAAACAGTCCTGCTCTGCTTGGTAGGGTTAGTGGTAATATTGGTATTTGTGTTGTTTGGTGTGAAGTCTGTGTTTCTACTCTCCTCATTTAGAACTTGAAAGCCAGGCCTATTAGAAAAATACTGGATTCAAAAGTTCCTAATAGGTCAGCAGTGCCCAGCCCTAATGATATTTTCAATCAAATGCCTTTATTGCCAGACAGAGAATGTTATCCAGTTAAAGTTTATTTTCCTCCTGATATATTTGCTTTATGAAATTAAAATCAAGATGTATGATGAATGTTTTACAAGGTCGTGTATTTGAAAATTGGGCTGTTGGTGTGGTGCTATAGGATAAGCACTGGACTGTGAATCACATGGTCAGCAGTTCAAACCCACCAGAAACTCCTTGGAAACCCTCTAAGGGTCGCTATGAGTTGGAACTGACTCGACAACACTTAACGACAACAACAACAACTTTTGAAAATTACTCACTTTTCTTAAAGTATCAAGTTCTGTATTCATGAGAAAATGCAACGTACTTATAAATCTGTGCATTTTTGTGAAGTTCTCCTGATATTAAAAACTTGATTTTCCTTTCTGTCTATTTCTTCTTTTTTTCCATCTGCTTTAGCTCTTTTATCGTAGACTTATTTTTCTTCATTGGATTTTCTTTTTTGCTGTGTTTACAGTGATAAATTGTTATGTTGCCAAGTTTCATAAATGATTGACAAACTTAAGTGGGGAAATATGTGGTTAGTTGTAGAAGTTTAGGTCTATTCTGAGTTGGTGTTAGTGCTGTGGGACCCTAAGACTCTGCATCTCATTTCTAGAATATGAAATATCGATGCTGAATCAGATGTCGTGGCTTATGAAGACCGCCTCCATAGAGCTGAGGGTAACGTCCCTGAACCGCCAGCGCTCACATACCCAGAGACTACTGCATTTGCTGCTGGATGACATGCCGGTGAAGCCGTACTCAGGTGACCCTGTGGCTGCTGCTGGATAGGACAGACCCACTCGGTTTTGTAACAGCACTCTCCCTCTTCCTTCCTGTGCTTAACTGTTTCTGTGTGTCCTTCTTACCGACCCCTTCCTGCCTTCTGAGCTTTATCCCTGAGCAAATGCTGCTCTTTTGGTCTCGTGTGGTTGATTGTTCTAAAGAGGGCATGCCTCCCTGGTGTCTGTTCACCTTAAGCCCTGGCTGTCGTTTGGCTGGAAGTTGAGTTTGGAATGAGTTCAGTTCCAGGCTTGAAGATGGTTAAGTGCCTTTATTCTCGGTGATTCTACCAGCCTCTATTAGACACCAGTGAGCCTGGTCTTTCGTATAATTTTGAATTTTGTCCCACATTCTTCTTCCACGCTATCCAGGGTAGCTGGGTCCCATCTGGTCCTTCTGATCTCAGGGTTGTGGAAGCTGAGGCTCATGTGACCTCTGCTAGTCTTTTGGACTTATGGTTTCCACGCCTCTTTGATTTTCTTCACTCTTTTTGCTTTGCACAGGGAGAGACCAACACTTGGATCTTAGCCACTCGAAGGCTGTTAAGACCTAAGCAGAGTAGGATGTAGAACGTTGTCCTAGTGGGCTGTGCTGTGCCAGTTGACCTTGATGTACTCGAGCCATGGTCCTGAGCCTCCAGTGACTCTGGGTTTTTGTTTTCTGTGTAGCTGCCTGGAAGCACAGGTCTAAACCTCCCACTCAGGTCATGCTTGTTTCGTAGGCCAAAACAATGCTTTCTGCCTTTGTAAGTTTTTCCCATAAAGAACAGACATTTCATATCATTTCATGATTGTAGTTAATGATTGTTTTAAACATCCACGTTATGTTATAGCTACGTGCACAGAATGTTCACTGGAGTTTGTCACACTGAACAGCACGATCCCAGCTAGCCCATTGTGACTCACACGTGCAAATCATCTCCTTGGCGAGGTTGGGCCTTGCCTCTCTTAGAGTCCTGATTATCCTCTTTACAGAGTCATGTGAAGAATGAGAGGACTGTTGGGAGAAAGTCTTTGCATTTTAATGATCTATTTGTAGAGGGCTCTTTGACCCGGAAGCACTGACCTAAAAATAAAATGTCTTAAGTTTGTTGTTTCCACATCGGTGTAGCTTTAAGACTGTGTTCTTTTTTCTGATCTGTTATTTTTGATGCTTCATCAGATGGCGAAGGAGGCATCGAAGAAGAAACTAGATCCGTCTCGGGCTTCCTACACTTTGACACTGCCACCAAAGGTAAAAACCGTTTGAATTTGTGGTATGTTTATTTTGTAGACATATTTTTGGTATATGCAATAGCCTTTAAAACATCAAGGGAGTACTATGCCTGGGGTTTACAAATTCTCAATTCGTGTAGAAAAGTTCCAGAAAGAATTATTGTTCCACCGCACTCCCCGTCTTTCTTTTTTTAATAGTAAGGAGTAGGGTGTGGGAAACAATTGCTAACACATAGGTGTTTCAGAAGTGAAATCAGATTTAAACCTCAACACTGTCTTTGCTTCCTGGGCTGCTCTGCTCGAATGTAGCTTTTGTGGAGAGGGAGCTGAGTGTGAAAGCTGCTCTTTTCCTCCTCGTCCCTTGTCACAGTGAATGGCTTTTCGTTGTTTCCTAGTCCGTAGAAAAATTCTAAGTATTCTCGACTCAGTTGACTTCACTCAAGAGATCCCTGAGCCTTTGCAGTTGGATTTCTTTGACCGGGCCCAGATTGAACAGGTCATTGCAAATTGTGAGCACAAGAATTTACGGGGACAGACGGTTTGCAACGTGAAGGTGAGGACTGGTTTAAAGTTTCTGCAGTAACCAGGTTCAGACTGAGTCCCCAGGAAAACCCCCAAAACATAACCATATAATTAACTTTTCTGATGGAGATACTGGTTGCTTCCTTACTAAACTTTGGTTTTCATAGTCAAACAGCTGGGGTATGGGGGGTCAGCTGAAGGAGCTGAACAGACTTCTCTGGAAGGCTCCCATCCTCTCTTAGAGGTCATGCCACCCAGTTAGACCTGTGGGCTGCTTGAGTGATTTGTTATCTACCTGGGATGACCTCACCAGTGGGAAGAAGGTACCCAGGTCCTTGCATCAATTTACCTGCTGCAGAGGCCTGGGCATAAGGGCCACTTTCTGCTACATTGGGCAGGACCATTGTTAGATGTCTCTAGAGGTGTGTGCAGCTCTGTACCATGACTAGGGGTCACTGCTCTCCCAGTGACTCACGTGGCCCTGTTTTTTCCCTCTCTTTCCATCTCTGTAGCTGCTCCATAGGGTTCTTGTAGCTGAAGTCAATGCCCTTCAGGGGATGGCAGCCATTGGACAGAGGCCTCTCCTGATGGAGGTAAGCCCCACAGAGCATGTGCTGACTTTGACCTTGAACTACTGAAGGTACTGGCTAAAAGACGGACCAGTATGTAGTCTTGAGATGCTGAAAAGTAAAACTCTAATGAGATCTCACTTCTGACTTCATCATTTCTTTACACTGAACTGCAGTTCATAGCTGCTCTCTGGTATGCCAACCTAAATCCTGTCTTTGCTGCCAGGCTCGTTAAAGCTCTGTGTCCTAGACAGAAGGAACAGACATGCCAGGGAATTTGCTCTTCAGCTGAGACTGTAGACAGTTGTAGTGCTCCAGGACAGGTAGACATGGACAGTTGAAGGAGTAAGAAAATGAGGTTAAAAAGCTCTTCTTTACCCAGACCACCTGCCACCTTCATTTACACACACGCAGTCCGTTTGCATGTATACCCTTCTATAGTATTTCAGGGCCTTGGCCATCAGTATAGCATCCTGATAGTGCTCTGGGTACGGGCTTGGCTGCTAACCGGAAACGTCAATAATTTGAATGCCAGCCTTCGTGGGAGGAAGATGTGGCAGTCTGTAAAGATGACATTTTTGGGGAACCCTGTGGGACAGTTCTGCTCAGTCTTATAGGGCGGTTATGAGTCAGAATTGACTTCGTCGGCAATGGGTTGGCCATCAGCATACGATGTGGAGTTATCTGCTGTGTGACTTGCATAGAGTAGGTTCCCACAGCCTCCTCCAGGTGTTTTCTGCGTGTTGGACATCAGAGCCTGTTGATACCAGGGAGCTTTTTTGTGCCTGTGCGCTGACTCTGCCACCCTGTGTTTCCCATCTCCTGGTCTCTAGGAGATCAGCACTATTCTCCAGTACGTGGTGGGACGGAACAAGCTACTGCAGTGTCTCCATGCAAAGCGACATGCCCTGGAGTCGTGGAGGCAACTGGTGGAGGTCATCCTGACAGCTTGTCCCCAGGACCTCATTCATACCGAAGACCGGCAGCTGATCATCCGCGACATCTTACAGGACGTGCATGACAAGGTGCTACACGTTCTGCTTCCTTTCTTGCTGCTGGACAGATATTCATAGAGCATGTACACAAATTGAGCTTGCCATCTGAATTGTTAAAATTTTGCATCAGTAGTTAAGTGGAATTGTGCCCATATTGAGGCTTATCTTGAGGAGAGCTAGATGGCATCTGGCTAATGCTCCTGAGCAGTCTGATCTGAGCAGAATAGGATCGAATACGGAACAGAAGTCAGATTCTTACAGTATTCAAACTCAGTGGGCCAGTTAGACAAGAGAACGTCCTGAGACTATGGTCCTGAGACACTTTGTAAACCTTGAATCAAAATGATCCCCTGAGGTCAAAGTTTAGCAAAATAGCAGATGAGCACGCAAAAGAAAAGCTGTTACCTGGGATGAGGGCACCCCATGAACACACCATCCATAGGATGTTACCTGGGATGAGGGCACCCAATGAACACACCATCCGTAGGATGTTACCTGGGATGAGGGCACCCAATGAACACACCATCCGTAGAGTCCAACAGGTCAGCTGTAACTCTAAAACAAAGATGCGAAGAGAAGCAGTCAGGGAACTAGGGGACTGGAAGTACAACAACCAGAACACAGTGAAATGGACAATGTAGAAATTGTCAAATGAGAACCTAATTTTCTTTGTAAACTTTTTATAAATAATACTTATTTAAAAAAAAACACCTTCTTGACAAAGAGATGAATGCACACTAATCATTCAGGTTGCATGTCACATAGCGTGGGCATCATTTATCTAGAGAGACTGCCCTACTGAGTGGATTTCTCTAGTGGTGGGGCCATTTAAATGAACTTCCAAAGAAACCTCCCTGAAAACTCTGATAGCAGTGACTTGTGGTTAAGAACACACTAAACTATACCTACATACGTTCATTTTACCCTCTCATATTCTTGGCAGTGTTTGAGAGCTGAATGCATATAAAAAGTGTTAGTGATTGTAGCTGCCAGCAGAGTCCGAACCCTCCTTTTTCCTTCTGCTCTAAGATACTGGATGATGAAGCGGCCCAGGAGTTGATGCCGGTGGTGGCAGGCGCTGTGTTTACCCTGACGGCCCATCTCAGCCAGGCTGTCCGCACCGAACAGAAGCAGCTGTTGGTCCTGGGGCCCAGAGAGGCCCACTATGCTTTCGTGTTTGACAGTGCCTTCACCTCGCCTCCTTCTGCAGAGAGCTCCATGGTGGGCTTTACTTCGATTGGCGATTCTTCACTTCACATCATATTGAGGAAACTGTTAGACTTCATTTTGAAGACAGGTCCTTTGATCTACCTTCACTATAGATTACTGTTTCTGTACTTGCTTTAACATTAATGAAGAAGGATTTCGCCTTACTCTGCTTCCCCAGGTGGCGGGTTCCAGCGCGTGAGGACCCACCTGTACGGCTCTCTGCTCTATTACTTACAGATTGCCCAGAGACCTGATGAACCAGACACATTAGAAGCAGGTAAAGGCATTGGGCCCTGGTCATGCCAGCTTTCCTTAGAGACTGGCTCCTTTCAATTAAACAGCAGTCACTCTTCCGAGTTTTGGAGTGAATACACCTTTGGGTGACCATTGAAGCAGCTACTCAAAAGTCTAGGAAGAATGGTTAATGTTTTAAAGGATCCCTTGTGGTCGAGTGAGACCCCTGGTGGTTGAGTGATTGAGCACTTGGCTGCTAACCACAAGGCCAACTGCCCAAAGTCACCAGCTGCCACGAGAGAAAGATGTGACAGGCAGTCTTTGTCCTTACCACCTTAAATTGAAGACATGAGTACTGTGAAGAAACAAAAACCCCTCAACCCTTCAACAAGTTCATTGGAAAATCCCATTGTCTTTTCATTCCGTTTGTCCACTAAGGTTTTGAAGCGACTTCGTATACTTCTGTGACCCCTGTCTTGCCTCTAGTCCCACCGGACAGGATGCTGCAGCTCACTTCCCTTTGCAGTGCCTTACAGGGCGCATCTAGTGGGGTCTCCCAATGGCTCTAGTCTTCCCCAGTTATGGATGTAGCATTTGTCTTATTGAAGGACATTTAAATGTTTGCTCACTGGAGCGCTGCTTCAAATATCCTATCAGATGCCTGTGTTAGTATTGCTCAAGAAGGGTGCGTCATGGTGGGATTTCCATGCATACAAGTTGATACTCTTAATGTTTTTTAAAGTTGTATTGTAAATGGAGTGAAGATTTACAGGCCAGATCATCAGCTTTACATTCATAAACTTCGTTTCATTACATTCATATACTTTGTTTCATTATAATGATTGCAATCTCCTTGTACCATCAGTTAACAGTATTTGCCTCTATTCACTTTAATTCCTGCACTTCTCCGTACATTTATACATTTTCACTTCAATAGATTCTACCAAATGGCCTCCTGACAAGGCTTTAAACTTCATTTGGGGTTTTCTCTGGAGAATTTCCCCAAGTTGAATTTCTTGGTCAAAAGAGGTATATTTAAAATACTGAGAAATATTGCTGTCTTCACTGACCTTGGACTCCTGGTGTGGTAGGATAAGCACTGGCCCGCTAGTCACTAGGTCAACAGTTCAAACCCACCAGCCACTCCTTAGAAACCCTGTACTACAGGGTCATTATGAGTTGAAATCGACTTCCCAGCACGTCACAGCAGCAACAACAACACACTGCCCTTAGCATTTGAATTGTGTATGAGAGGTCATCACTCAGTTACCAGACTGGCTTTCATTGGGGCTGGGGGGGTTCCCTTTTGTCTGTTTTAATGCTTTTAGCCAAGAAAACCATGTGGGAGAGGCTGACGGCCCCTGAGGATGTGTTCAGTAAGCTGCAGCGAGAAGACATGGCCATCATCGAGAGCTATGGTGCCGCACTGATGGAGGTGGTGTGTCGGGACGCCTGTGATGGCCATGAGATCGGCAGGGTAAGGACGCATGTTGGAACGGACGTCTTTGCTAAAAGTGCAGTGTGGCCCTTACGTACTGAGAATTGTTTTCTGCGCTGTATTGAATAGATTGGTTTATTTTCTCTGCTTTGGGACTTCCATTTCATATGTTTTGTTTCCTTCTGTTCTAAATCTTAATTAGTTGAGAACTTTCCCAGAGTGATCGGTTTGCTCACGTCTGAGGTAAGCCTCACACCAATAGAAACCACCACACAGATGTGGCTGGCTGTATCTGTAACTGAGTATGCCGGATAAGCAGCCTTTAGTTGAGCATAGCTTACATCTTTCTCTGCCTAAGTGCTTTAGGAGAAGAATTTGTGTTTTTATTTCTTTAAAATAGTGTTGTGCACTCGTGATCATGCCACGAGAGATAACTTCGCAGTGAAACCATTTATTTGAAAATCTTGTGATGAGACAAGATTTTTAAAAATAGGGTAAAGCAAAGTATGTAATAAACTCTCAATTGTATTTTATAAAAGAATGAAAGTATTCTTATGCCTACAAAAAAGATCAGGAGGAGATAGACCACAATAGATTAACTGAGCTAATCATAAAAGGCATGTAAAATTTGACAGTTAGAAAAAGTAATTTTAAAAAATTCCATTTTTTCAATAGTTACGTCTAGACTTTCATGCCATTATTTTAATGTGCTCAGTTTTGTTTCAGGCATATACCTTTACCCTGAAAGTTTTACTGATAAATGGAGGCAGCTTTATTGTAAGCAGCTATTCATGTCCTTGTTGGACAAGCTCCGACGGTTTGGGGTAGAGGCAGGTGCTGGGGTGGCTTGGTGACTGGGCTGTGCTCTGCCCCTAGATGCTGGCCCTGGCTCTGCTGGACCGGATTGTGTCTGTGGATAAACAGCAGCAGTGGCTTCTGTACCTCTCCAACAGTGGCTATCTCAAGGTGCTTGTGGACAGCTTGACGGAAGACGACCGGACTCTGCAGAGCCTGCTCAGCCCGCAGCCTCCCCTTCTGAAAGCCCTTTACACCTACGAGTCCAAGATGGTAAGGCTCTGGACGTTCCAAGTGACAGCAGCAGGTTTTAGACGTTACAATGCAAGTGGGCCATCCACTCAAATATGTCTTCTTCTCTCATAAACTGTAATTACGTTTGACGAGTTTTACATTGTGGGGTCTGGTAGAAGTATGTGCTCTGGGTTTGTCCAGACTGGGTTTGGGTGACCCTGAGGACTATCTGATGGTGGGACTTCTGCCTGCCACTCCCTCAGTTGCTGCTCATGGCAGCTCGGACGGACGTCCAGTGCTCTCGAAAGACAGTAGAGGGCCAGCACACCTCAGACAACATTGGCATGCAGATGTGCTGGGTCTGCTGTAAGCATAAGAGATTCAGTACAGTGTAAAACAGTATGAAACCAGTTCTGACTCCAGCAACCCTATGGGGACAGAGTAGAACTGTTCCTTAAGCGTTTCTGAGAGGGTCCCTCTTTGTGTAAGAGCAGAGACGGGTCTCTCTTGGCATGGCTGATGGGTTTGAACCGCTGACCTTGGGGTTAGCCATCCAGTGCCTCACCCACTGCACTGTGACCAGTGTACGTTCCATGCAGCATGTAATCCCTCACTTCCTTTCCTCCAAGCCTGTATGAAAGTCTCTGTTTCCTGCTACTACATATGTCACCACATAGAAGCACTGCAGTCAGTTTTTCCCGCCTGCACTGGTTTATTCAACAAGCCTCTGTGGTGCACTTCCTGCGCTCGAGGCGTGGTGCTTGGTGCTTGGTGTTGGACACGCAGGTGTGAGGTGCACAAGTCACCTGAGCAAGCAGACGCTTCAGGCATGTGACGCGCTGTGCCACGTCATCCTCACAGAACCGCCTTCAGGAAGTTCTGTGGCGACTAGAGATCAGAAGTCTAACTGTCCCTGGGCCTTTCTGTCTGTGCCTCCGTAGGCTTTTCTCACTAGAGTGGCGAAGATACAGCACGGTGCTCTGGAGCTGCTGAGGGCCGGGGTGATCGTGCGGCTCGCCCAGTGCCAAGTGTATGACATGCGCCCCGAGACGGATCCACAGGGGTAAGTATCCACAGAGGCAGGAGTCCTGAGAGAAAGAGGACATTCCAAACTTACCATTGCCCCTGGCTTCGCATTCTGAAGGAGCGGTAGTCTTATCTTGATGACGTTTTCCATACTTGTTAAGTGCCATCAAGTTGGTGCCGATTCATGGGGACCCTGTATAGAGTTTCCAAGGAGCGATTGATGAGCTTGAACCACCGACCTTGCGTTTCAAACCCACAGTGCCATAACAGGACTCCAAAAATATCAGGGCAGAGTTTGAACTAGACCTCTGCCATTTGCTAGTGGATGGAGGTTCTTCAGAAAGGAAAAAGCAGGGAGGGACCTAGTACTTTTTCACTTGAAGGGGAAATGGGAGACTTGGTTACTAAATGTGTGTCTTCCCATCTTCCGTTTGTGTTGAGTAGTAGCGCAGGTTTCACACAGTGGTCTTTGGTGTAGATTTGCTCTTCCTGATGTTAATAATTTGGATGCAGATGCCACAGTATTTGTCCCCCTTTTTTCTCAGTTCCCTGCTACTTTGACAATTTTATATGAATTTTTCTCATGAGGAGTTCTCCACTTCAAGCTTTTTAGCAGATTTCTCAGCTGTTGGAATGGGGCCTTTCCTCCCTGCCTGGCTCAGCTTTGTTCATGATTATTATCCAGCAAGAGGCATCATTTGGGTCGCTTGAGTCATTTCATTCAAAAGATCCATCGCCAAACTGAGTGCGTTTTTCAGTCTTACCTACAGAACTTTTACCACCAGAGGAAGGGAAAAAACGTTTGGTATTTCTCTCTGAATTTTTAAGCATGAGAATTGTTAAGATTTTCAGGTTCAGTGAAGACCGAGTTCCTTGTACCCCCGCCCACGGCCTGTCGCCATGGCTAGTCTCTCTCTGCCCGCCCCGCTCTTGCTGGATTTCCACTCTGCTTCTGGTCTTTTCTCTTGGGGCAGAGATTTAAATACCGACATTTCTAACAGATTGTAGTTTATTCTTGCAGTGTTCTGACACGGTGTCCTAAAGGTTAAGTGATACTACAACCTAGCATCTACTTTTTTTAAAAAATTTTATTTTACACACTGGACAGTGTAGACTCATTTTGGGCTTGAGTATAGGAGAGGAATGTTGAGGGCAAATCACTTTGGCTTGCATCCATTTCGTACCCATGGTCTCTCTGGTTTGAGGGAACCTTTGAAATAAAGAGAATCTTTTTTGGGAAGTTTCAAGCACTGTGTTTTCAAATCCTGCAGGTTTTCTTCAGTGAAATTTTCAAAACGCAAATTGTTCTGTTTCAAAATGCAAATCGTGTTTACTAATGAATGAAGCTGTGTGGTTCTACAGAAGCACTTACCTCGAACCCATAGTGTCTGTCTGGGATGCAGACTCCTCCGGGTGACATCCCCCATCAGTGGGTGATGCCGTCTGCCCCTTAATAAGTTAGCAGACCGCTAGATGATCCCGTTAACGCTAATCTTGCCATGTTCTCCCGTCTCTCTCGATTGTCATGAATCAAGAGTGTTTGGCATGAGGGACCTCCCGATGTTCATCCCCACCCCAGTGGATCGGTACCGGCAGATCCTCCTCCCTGCCCTCCAGCTGTGCCAGGCCATCCTCACGTCAAGCATGGCTCAACACCTGCAGGCAGCGGGACAGGTAAGGGATCCCAGGTGTAGAGAGCCTCTGATGGAATCTGACTGTGGTGCAGAGTTGGGAGAGAAGAACCTTGTACTTGGCTCTGGAGGACACAGACCCTTGTAGAAATGAGACACAGTAGCAAATGAATAGAATATTGAGCTAGGAAGCAAGAAATGAGCTTTGTTCATCTCTAAGATGAAGAAGCAGTTCACTGTGGTAGGGAACTAGCAGGCTTCTAAAATTGAATTCACTTAGAATTTGTTGAGAAAGCGCTATCATACTAGGCTCAGCTTTGCCAAACATATAAAAGACAGACGGAAAGGTTACATTCATTTATCATTTAGAGACTGAAGTTGTTTAAATAAAATTTCTGGTAGTTGTTGTTAAATATTACTGAGTTGGTTACAACTCCTAGTGACCTTTTTAGGGTTTCTGAGGCTGTAGATCTTTGTGGGAGCAGAAAGCCTCATCTTTTTCCCACAGAGCAGCTTGGTGGGCTCAAACTGTCAACTTTGTGGTTTGCAGTCCAGTGTTTACCTTACAGAGCCACAGCACTTGGTTTTAGTGAAAACTTTAAAAACCTCTGCTCTTTTAAACTGATGATAATAGAGCTTAGCCTCCTACTGATGAATTGGGCTCTTCGCCATGCTCCTGTGGTCACTGGTTGTGTCTCTGCCTCAGACACTGGGATTGGTGGGTGCTTGGTCTGCTGTCCCGGTCATCAGCCCTCAGACTCTTTCAGGGAGAATGGGCGTTATTGCAGGCCATGCTCTGTCTCTACCATGGGTGGCCTTCTGGTTAACGTCTTTAAACCTCAAGGACTTTCCCTTGTCCTCTCACTGATGGACCTTGAGATTCTTGTGTAGAACTGGGACATGGTGCTGTGACACACTAGTTCTCTTAACACCAGTTATTACGGAATCATCTGAGGAGCTTCTTACAAAAACCAAACAGGCCATAAACAGAGCACTGAGTCCCAGGGCTAGAGGTTCTGGGCTGAGGTCAGGAGTCTGTTCAAAAATGAAAGGGAGTGGGGTTGCTGAGTGTTCTGGAATCTTTGCCTCAAAGGCATTTATCAGAGTCCTGGGGTGGTGCTGTGGGTTAATGCACTGGACTGAAAGCTTGGTGGTTCAAGCTCACCAGCCGCTCCTGGGAAAACCTATACAGAGTCGCTATGGGTCTGAACTGACTCGATGACATTTAACAACAACAACAACAACGTTTGTCATCTAGGGGAGAGATGTGATGTGAAACCTTACAAACGGCCATGCTGGAGGGAGCAGAGTATGGAGGTCTGGGTTTCTCGCTTCTTTGCTTTGACCATATCAAAGGGAGAATCAGACATAAACTTTTATATGGTTTTCCTTTCATATATAGCAACTTCTTAAATTCAGTATGTCATTTTTATTCCCACTCATTTTAAAGTCTTGTTCTTGTCCCTACTGGACAAACTACCAATGAAGCAAAGAGGGTTATGTTAAATAGGGTTCGGACAGTAGCTCCAAGTTACAGCTTACTTTCCTACAATGGCATCTAAGTGTATTCATTGGTAAGCTTTCAGATAATCATTATCTATAGCTTCTGTGTGAATTTTACTTAAATGCTTGCTTCTTGAGGCACTAAATTACGCAGGTGCAGAAGATATTCATGTAAGCAATAAGCAAGTGCAGAAACCACGGCACTTGCCTGTATTGCACTGAGTCACTTACTTCAATGTTTAATGAGGTTCCTGAGTGAGACTTACAAATTTGTGATGGGGTGTTTCTTGGGTCTACCTTTGCTGCTTCCATTGCGCCCTTTCTGGGCTTAGGTGCTACAGCTTCTCATCTCGCATTCCGACACTATCCAAGCGATTCTGCGCTGTCAGGACGTCAGTGCTGGGTCCCTGCAGGAGTTGGCATTGCTGACCGGGATCATCAGCAAAGCAGCACTGCCTGGTGAGTTGGTTTGGTGCAAGGACTTCTAGTCATTCTTTACAGACCTGCATGTGTTGTTGTTAAGTGCTGTGGAGTCGGTTCTGACTCCTAGAGACCCTGTATAGGGTTCCCGAGCCTGTAAATCTTTATGGGAGCAGAAAGGCTCATCTTTCCCCTGTGGAGCAACTAGTGGGCTAGAACCACTGACCTTGTGGTTTGCAGTCCAGTGCTTATCCTATACAGCCACCACGCTCCCACAGACTTGCACACACATACCACAAATCCAACCCCACTGTATGTGTGCAAATGGGGTGGAGAGAACAGGAAGCTGCGTTGGAGTGGTGCTGTTAGAGGCTGGTCAGCTGACCTGGTAATGGGGCCAAACTGGAAAGGGGAATGGAAACATCGCTCTGGCAAACTCAGGTTTGTCTAAGGGGGCAATCAAATGATACAATATCTAGAGGAGTTTAAAAGAAAAAAGAAATGTGTTTCATGCATAGTATTTTATATTGCAAACTTCCATGAGACAGTAATTTCTTGCTGAGTTTGGAAAGTTTTAACTTTTATGATTATAAGTAAAAACTAGATTTTTCTTGGGAAAAAACCCTCATAAGCTCATTAATTCAGTCTTACACTTTGGATTGCATGTGAATGGTCATGTGCTGCTGTCAATATCTAGAAAGGCAACAGTAACAAACAGTGTAAGATGCTGTTTCTTAAAACTTCTCCAGGGCAAGGGTTTGCCTGCTCATTGTATGAAAACTAAAATACTAAGACAGCTTTTCTTACTGTACAGTGCTTTTATTTTGTTGATTCTGTAGCTACATCTGAAAGCATTCTAATTTTTTATAGGCATATTGAGTGAACTCGATGTTGACGTAAATGAAGGATCTCTAATGGAGCTACAGGGACATATTGCACGGTTCCAGGTAACCGATTCTTAGATCTTCAAGTAACAATTTGCTCTGACTCATCACCTTTCTTTGGAAAATGTTCTTTATGTGGATGCATCTCAGAGATACATGTGTATCATGTAAAATAAATGGAACTGTGTTAATTTTATAGAGATACATAACTAACTGGACATATCTCAATCTTTGTGTCACCAGCATGTCCTGAATATCTTGTATTTAATATCGATTTTTAAGTGGGGCTGTGATTTTTGTCATGGTGCTCTGCGTCTTTTGAGTCTTGCTGTGACCAGCTTTCTAGAGCGAGCTGCTCGCTCACCAGCAAGGCACACTCTGTGCCTTTCAGTCTCTTAACTCTTCTCACTAGTGAAAAGAAGGACCTTTCAAGTGGACCGTTCGCGAGGTGAATCATTTGTGATCCCCGTTTTATCTGTGAGAGCAGCAGACACAAACATGTCACATGTGTAACTCTTTTGGAAAAATAAGTTTAGGTGTTTATTTTGAACTTTTAATTTTGTGGATGAAAGTTTACAGAGCAAATTAGTTTCCCAGTCAACAGTTCACACGCATTGTGTTTTATAACATTGGGCAAAATAAGTTTATATCTGGCCTCACTGCCCCAGTGATTAAGATTTTACACACACACACACACGCAATTTCCAGGTTTTAAATCCTTGTGTTTATTGTACACTTACGTTCAGAACCCTGTGCTGTGGACTTTGAATGCAGTATCTCAGGTCATCTTGACAGTGACCCCATGTGATAGCAATTGCTGTCACCACTAGAAATAGGAATCTAGAGGTGTGGGAAGTTAAGGAATTTGTCCCGTGTCACGTAGCCAAAGGTCATGGACCTGTTCCTGGACTCCCAGCCTGTGGCTATCCATCAGCTATTCAGCGTGCCCTTGCCCTGTGAGACTAGAGGGTGAAACCTACCACCGTTCCCAGCTGATGGCGCTGGCATTTTATCTGCCACAGCTCCCTTTGTGTTCCCAAGCTTTGCTGACGTCCCCACAGCAGCAAAGGAGTACCAGCCTTCGCATTTGTGGTTCTCTAGACAAAACTCCTGGGCATGCTGGCTGCTACCCACCTCCTGTCTGCCCCCTTATTTTGCAGCTCATTTATTTTATTTTTGGTTTGATGCAGAAAACTCTTGGTGAATGTTTAGATTATCTTGGGGACTAAGAGGTAAAGTTGGTGTGAAGGCGCTGACTGCCAGATGCATTTGCAAAAGGTGAATTTTAGTGATGCTGCTAGTAGTAGAGAGTAAGAAACCACATTTCTTAAAAGACTGGTTTTGATCCCTCTAGAAAGAGAGGTCACTAATTCAGCCTAGTTGTCAAGAAACTATCTCTCTGTTTCTTAGCGCCAGTGCTTAGGGCTCCTGACTCGCTTTGGTGGCTCTGACAGACTGCGTCAGTTTAAGTTTCAAGAGGATAATGTGGAAGGAGATAGAATGAGCAAGAAAGATGAAATCGAACTGGCTATGCAGCAGGTATGAGGGATGGGCTTAGTGGGCGGAATGATCCTAACTGAGGCTTTCATTGTACTTAACCGAGGTGAGGAATTTCAGAAATTGCATGCTAACTTTGCTCCCTCTTCACATTTGAATTGGCATGATACTGGGGCACTTTGAGCGCTCACTTGTTGTTGTTGTTCTGATGCCGTAGATTTGTGCCAACGTCATGGAGTATTGTCAGTCCCTCATGCTTCAGGGTTCTCCCACCTTCCAGCACACCGTGTGTCTCCTCACCCCCAGCCTTTCGGAAACCATGAGTAGAGACGGGCCGCGGCCAGGTGAGTCTCCGCCCTGCTTCTGCAGCTGGGGAGTTCAGTAGCTCTGATGATGGCTGAGCTCTCCTGGGTCCCAGGGAAGCACAGTACTGTTGGTGTCGCAGTTATTTCAGTGAATAATGAATGGGGATATTTTAAAGGCTTTTTTAAGACGGAGTGGTGTGGAGTTTCTGCTGTCAGACCTGCCTGTTAGGCTGGAGAGCTTGAGAGACCAGGAGGAGATGTGCTGAGCCTAAGTCTGGAAGACGCTGTAGTTTTGAATAGTAGTGGTTGTTGTTAGGTGCTGTTGAGTCGGTTTTGATTCACCCCAGAAGGAAACACTGCCCCATCCTCACGTTGTTATCTTCGAGCCCATCCGTTGTTGCAACCACTGTGTCACTCCATCTCGTTGGGGGTCTTCCTCGTTTTCTCTGAGCCGCCACTTCTCCAAGCATGATGGCCTTCTCCAGGGATCCATCCCTCCTGACAATATGAATATGTCCGAAGTATGTATGATGAAGTCTCACCAGCCTCGCTCCTAAGGCTGTACTTCTAAGACAGGTTTGTTTGTCTCACTGTCCATGATACTTTTAATATTCCCCTCCAATACCATAATTCAAATGCTTCAATTCTTATTCATTGTCCAACTTTTACATGCATGTGAGACGATTAAAAGTATGGCTCAGTCAGGTACACCGTAGTCCTCAAAGTGACATCTTTCCAGTGCACATGACACTGTTGGCCATTCTCTGTGGGCTGCAGATGGACAGAGGCCTCTCCCTGCCTCCCGCCCCTCCCTGCCAGTCCTTCTCATGGCACCATTTTACCAACAGCACACGCTCACCTCGTGTCTCCATGTTCTCACAATACTTCACACTTTTCCACCATGCTGTTACACACATGAACATCATCTCGTGTACACTCACTGGGAAGCCTAGAAATTGGTGTGGCTCATTTTACACCAGTACTCGCTTTGTTGCATTGGGTAGGAACTGAACTCACTGTGGCTCTGAGGTCTGCTTGAATGTCAAGTGCTTAGAGCAGCCTTGGCTTTTAAGATTATAGAAGTGGTAGCTGTGGTACTGTTGTCATTGTTGTTGTTTAGCGTGTTTCTACTTGTGATCCAGGGACCCTCCTCTATAACACTCGCTATTCTTCTAGCCCCCTCTCGTCTTTCCTGTGGGATATGCTTTTGTAGAGCGAGTCTCCTGAACCTTCTGTATCTGAGTTCCGAGTCACCAGCCTCTGAGAGTGCTACTGGTTTCTAGACTTGAGCCACTTCGAGGGGTTAGGACTTGGAAAGGGTCATCCTGTATGTGGTTCTCCCTAGCAGGGTAGAAAGTCACAAATGGTACCTGGGACCAGGACAACTCATTTCCCAGAAACAAGCTCTCTTACCAATCTGTATTGTAAAGACTAGCGTCGTCCCGAAAGACTGGAAAAGAGGCCTGGGTAGTCACAGGGTCTGGGATGGCCATTGGTTAGGGGCACGGTCACTTGCCAGTGACAGTCCTCTCACCTGTGCTGGGAGATCCAGAGGGCTGGGAGTTTGGAGCAGGAGTAAGGGGAGACGGTGGGGAAGTGGAAGCTACAGGTCTCCGGCAGTGTCATTCAGGGTATCTTGGCCATTAGACCAAACCCACTCTGAAATTACCCACGGATTTCTCAGGAGCCCCTTCCTCATTAGAGGGGACTGCGAATCGCACCACAACTCTCTGTAGGGTGGCAGGGCACTGCGGGCAGCCTTCCCCCAGCCTGCCGTCCCTTTGCACCTTCATCCTAAGACAGCCAGGTGTGGGGTAAGGCTGCCAGAAGGCCTTGTGCTCTGGTGCTGCCTGATGAGTGGACAGGCTCGCATGTGAACCCAGTCGGCTTCGTGCTGTTCAACTGTGTCTTTGGGAGAGTGACTCGGACATGGAGTGGGAACCAGAGAAGTGCAGCTGGGAAAGGAAGCCACACAGCTAGACAGTAGGGGGAGGGCACCTCTCCCCAGAACCTGAGTGTGTGTGTGAGTGTATGAAGTTTGCATTTGTGTGTTTGTGGAGGGGGTGCAGGCATGGGAACTCTAGCTTTCGAGTTTTCACTGTCCCCCAAAGAGAAAACTTTGAGTCCATTAGCTAGATGTTCTATTCTCTCAAGGTGTCCAGCTGTGGGCCCTTTCCTGGTGACAGTAACCCCTAACCACTCCTTTGGGCTCTCTCTGGTATTTAATAGTTTTGGTTTTCATGGTAGTTCTGTGCCCTCAGGTTTCTGTGCACCATGTTTTAAAGTAGGTCATTTAAAAGTCATGACATGATTGTAAGGACAACACTGTTTTATGTCCTCAACTATCAGATAGCCAAGCACCAGTGGTTCCGTGTTGGCGCCTGCCTGGTTTGGGCATTATCGTCTACCTGCTGAAACAGAGCGCCAATGATTTCTTCAGTTACTACGACAGTCATCGGCGGAGTGTCAACAAGCTGCAGAATGTCGAGCAGCTTCCCCCTGATGAGATAAAAGAGGTAGGACCTGACAGTGAGCTGTGGCCGTGCTGGACACACCCAGGGCCAGGCGGGTGATGGCCTCTGCCCTGGGAGTAAAGGTGATGTATCCACATACATGGCTTCTCCTGCAAGGCTTGAAGAAGGTCTCACACTCTAGCACCACGCCTCATGAGCAGAGAACTTGTTAATGGCACAACCGGGTAGGGCCTTCTAGAAAACCACCCCAGCCAGTGGAAAGGCAGCTGGCCTTTGAGGACTGAGTCTTAGTAACTGAAACTGTAAAATCTAATACACACACACATGCATGTATGCGTATATGAAATTATTTTCTTTCATCTGACCTCTTATCTACTGTTGGTGTTGGTAAGTGTTGTCAAGTTGGTTCCGACCCCCAGCAACCCTGTATAGGGTTTCTGAGGAGAGGCTGGTGGCTTTGAACCACCAACCTTGTGGTTCAAAGTGACCTTGCAATCCAGCGCATTATCTGCAGTGCCACACCACGACTCTACAATTATGGCTTTCTGTGGTAGATGCTGTTTCTGCAGACGGTTTCTCTATACCTTTAGTAGCTCCAGTATCTGTCGACACAAGATGGCATCTCAGACACAACTGCCTTCTCTCAGTGGCCGGAGGCATGAGCGTCACTGTGCTCTTTAGCTGTGAGGCGAGTCACCATGCACACTCGCTTCCCACCGGGCACAGCTGAATCACTAGGCACCCTGTGGCCCCTTACCAGGGTGTCCTGTGGCGGCCTGGATGCTTCACAGCAGGCTTCCCAGTAATTCCTTTCACTCTTGGGGGCAGACAAGCCCCCTCCTTCCTGCCGCTCTTTTTACGATCACGGAGCATTCAAGGAGTGTGCACAGTGCGCTGGACCAGACCTGTGTGCACTCCCTGGTTGACATGAGGCAGGTAGTGATGTTGCCTCCATTTCTCGGGTGTGGAAACTGAGGCACCGAGGCTAACTGAACTGAGCTTCCATGGCTAGTAAGTACAAGGGGGGAGGCAGGAGCTCAATAACAGCTGATGGATCGGGGCCCCCTGCAGGGTGTTGTTCTGTCACCTGTGTGCCCGAAGATGCTAATTCCCGTAGGAGGGATGACGGTAGTACGACAGAGTCGGTGGTGGGTCCCCAGCCCCCTTCATTCAGTGAGCTGTGGTCGGTCAGATGGAGCCGTGGTGCATATGCCAGGAAACTTCAAAAAGTATGTGGGAAAACTGCCTTGAAAAGACAGAAATGAAGCCCCCTTGTACGTGTGCCAAACTGAAATCTGCGTTGTCTTCAGAAGATAACACACAACCCTTTCAGGAATTCTGCACGGCCTTGTTACACCCAATGCTTGAAAAGTCATTTTGTTTTGTTGAACTTGACGAGAAGTTCAGGGTGGGTGGGCATGCCATCGAGTCAATTGTGACTTATTGTGACCCTTTAGGATAGACTAGAACTGACCATAGGGTGTCCAAGGTCCTCGTCGTGACAGAAGTGCACTGCCACGGCTTCCTCCTTTGCAGCCTGAACCGCAGCCTAATGCTCACCCAGTGGGCTCGTCAGCAGATTGAATGTCGGCTCCAGGGACATGATTTCAGAGGCAGCAGGCGGCCATTCACTTGTGAAGTTGCCCACTTCTTTGGCTCTCGTTTTTCTCCTTCAGTTATGGGCATCTTCGCTGGATAATAAGCTCGTGACTGCAAGGGGCCTCGCTTTATTTGAGTTGTTCTCAAAGAGCTCTCGTCATAGATTTAATGCATTGCATTTCTGTCTGAATCTGTGCTGTTCTCAACAGCACATTTGTTTCTTTCTCTTAGTTGTGCCAGTCTGTGATGCCTGCTGGAGTCGATAAAATCTCTACGGCCCAGAAATACATGCTAGCAAGGCGGCGTCTGGTGAAGTTGATCAACAACCGCGCCAAGCTGCTTTCGCTCTGTTCCTGTATCCTTAACGAAACTGCAGGCAGTGCAGCGTGAGTGCTGCCCTTCCAGAGCACCTTCCCACGGACTTTATCTCACTAGTAAATGCCTGATATCTTTCCAAACTGAAAATGTCTTTCCTACATTTTAGAACTGCTAGTAATCCTGATGGTATATAGCAGTGCTTTCTGGGCGTGCACCCCATGTCCCCTGGCCCCTCTTCCTCTCAGTAGTCTGGCCGCTCTCTACAGAGGGGTACGTGCCGTGGAGCGCCCCTTGCTGGTCAGATGGAGGAGGTGCATCTGGCACCAGGCGATGCAGTGATCCCCTTTTGATTTCTCCCTCCAAAACCTCCCTAACAAAGGGTTTGCTGAACTTGTTCTCTTTAACCTGAGCCCTCACGTGCAGTTATCATAGAGACCTGCCTCTTCATTTTTTGGCGCCACCTGGAGTACTACCTGCTGCACTGCACACCCACAGACTCCCAGGATTCTCTCTTTGCCGCCAGGACCTTATTTAGAAGCCGGAAACCACAAGGTAAATGCAGTGCTGAAAGCCAGCCAAACACTAGTATAGTTTGAGTGCTTTGAAAAACCTGTTAGGTTTTTATATACAATTTATGTTTCTAGGGTGCTAACAGTGGACTGTGAACTGCAAGGTCAGCGGTTCAGGCTTACCAGCCACTCCTCAGAAACCCTATCCAGGGTTGCTCTGAGTCTGAACTGAATCAACGGCACTTAACTTACTGTTAACTTACTTACTGTTAGTAGTCCAGTGCTTATCCTACAGTGTCACATCAGGACTCCCTCTAGACATGGCTATTTTTGTTCCTACTTCTGTCCATGGGAAATTGTGCTAAGCATGTGTCTTCTAAAGGCTGTTCATCAGTTTCTTCAGTGGAGGCCCAACCCAACCCAGAGGCCCTGGTACTAAGGCTTTTCCAGAAGATTGGCTTGGGTTGGCCTCGGCCATGATTCGCACTGCCAGAGCAAGCCTGTGTGATTGGAAAGGGGTCCCTCGGGTCAGGGGAGACAAGAAATGCTTGAGACTCTTGGTCTGCACTAGTGGAATGCTTCCCCAGGACTTCCGTTTGCTGAGAACATCAAGTTCCTAGTGTCGGAGCATTTTTGCGCAGCACTGTGGTTCATTGTCACCAGTACCTTCCACTATGTAGGAGAGTCAGTGCTGGCAAAGCTGGCTTCACTGTACCTTTTCTCTCAGATCCCTTCGCCTCCGACACCAGCCTGGACTTCAGAAGTGGGCTGACAGTAGTGAGCCAGCACGACGTAGACCAGGTAAGGGTCCAGACTGGCTTAGACCCGGGAGGGGTCTGTGCCTGCATGTAGACCCAAGTTAGGGTCCAGACTGGCTTAGACCTGGGAAAGGTCTGTACACAGGTGTAGACTCAGGTAAGGGTCCGGACCGGCTTAGACCTGGAAGGGGTCTGTACCCAGATGTAGACCTGGGAGCGTCTTTGACCAAATGTAAACCAGGTAAGTGTCCTTGCCTGAACATAGACCGATTCTTCTGTTGGCTCACAGGACTGCAAGGGTTGGTAAATCCAAAATCTGTTGGTCAGGCCATATTCCAGAGACTTCTGCAGATTCATGTTCCAAGAACCTGAGGTCAGGAACAACTGACTTCACTTCTGAGCCATCATTTCCTCATCCGAGAGATGGGAATGGTAATAACAAGTGCATAGAATTTGGTCAGAATTCAAGGAAATTCCCTATATGTGACCCTTTAGTATAGTGTCTGCAAGGAAGTAAGTGTTCCGAAATTGGTTGATTTTATAATCTGGAAATTCATGGGTGTTTTGTTTTTTTTTAATTGTCTAATTTTTAGGCACCAAGTATCAACTCAACACATAATCTTTCAAGAAATAATTTCTTGGTAAAATTGTGAGTGGCCATTAGAATTTCAGTCAAGCAGACTACAATACCATACCACACTGTGCACTTCAGCCTCTTGAGCAATATTGTTGGAATGACTGAAGAGCTTCCCCAAGCAATGAAAAATGGGGGCATCACTTGTTCTTGATGTCATCGGGTTGTGTGGTAGGAGCGGAAGTGAGTCCCAACTTACTCTGTTAGGAGGCAGCAGAAAGTCCTCAGCAGTGACTTGGGAAGGCTCTGCACCTCTGGTCCCTCCTTGTCACTGACTTTCCTGTCGCTGAAGGGCGGACCTCATCCTGCCCAGAGGAGCACAAGTTCCCACCCTCCAGAACACACCCCAACCCTGAGTGACTTCTTCATCCAAGTGATTTCTGCTGCGGCCGGGCTCTGGTGGGGAAGCTAGCGTTAAATGTGCCCGTGTACAGAATTAATCTAAAACGTGATCACCCTGAAGGTGATGTTATTATTATTTCATTTAGACTCATCTGCTATGCTGTTAGAGTAGGGGAAAGGATTAGTAAGTAATTTCATAAAAGAACCTGCTGGGATTTGAATCCAAAACTGAAGGCCGGGAGATCTCTCTAATCTCTAAATGTCAGTGATCTTTTCAAATAGCAAAATGTATTTAAAAAAAAAAAAAAGGTCCGCCTCCCCACCCCACCCCACGGATCCTTTGTTTCTTTCCCCAAAGGCAGCTTCTGTTCATGATTTCTTGTGTGGAAATACTTTTTGGGCATAAGTCAGTGTATCACCACCAACAATTGTTGCTATTTACAGCAGATTTTAAGTTTTGCATACCATACAAGAAAGGAAAGAGGGAAAACCATTAGCCTCTTACCTTAAAATTTTAGGGTGGGAAATGTCAGTGTTGAGTGAATTGGGGTCTGAGCAAGGACCACATTACCAAGCTTGAAAGGTCAGTTTAATAGTAAGACAGAATGACAAACTATTTGAGACGGCCATTCTCCTAACAAAATGTCTTCTGTGTTCCCTCCAGCTTCAGGCTGACTCCGCCAGTGCATTTGGAGAATCACTGCAAAAGAAACTTCTGGACATTGAAGGACTATATTCAAAAGTTCGATCTCGCTATAGTTTTATACAAGCCCTTGTCAGACGGATCCGTGGTCTGCTGAGGACCTCAAGGAGCTGAGCGTCTGTGCTTCTACTCTTCTTCTGGAGAGATGAATTGGGGGAAACATTCTCCTTTTTAATAGATGACTATTTCTAAATTATGACCAAAAATTATTTTGTATTTCTTTATATATGGACATCTTTTCTGTAAACTTCTTTGCCGAGTCCCATCTTCATTAGTGAAAAATAAATTCTTTTTACAAGATACAACAAATGGATGAAATTTGATCTAGAAAATAAATATTCCATACCAAGTCTACAGTTCAGGTGGCACGTCAGAGGCCTTTGCTGCCCCACAGGATTACAGGGGTTGGCAAATCCAAAATTTGTAGGTCAGGCAACATGCTAGAGATTTTGCGGGTTTATGTCCCAAGAACTGGAGGTCAGTAAAGAGAAGAGTGAGGTCAACAACGAGAAGTGTGCAGCATCAAAAAAAGCAACAGCTTTGCCAGATTGGAGACAGGCCACACCCCCGAGTAAACTTCCCTTTCAATTGATTGGCTGCTCATATCAGATCTCAAAATGAAGTGATTGCATAATGTCTTCCAAATCGTTGAGAATTACAGATTAGGTGGTACTGTGGGTTAATGCGCTGGACTGCAAAGTCACTTTGAACCACAAGGAAGGAGGTTCAAGCTCACCAGCTGTTCTTCTGAAATCCTATACAGGTTGCTATGGGTCAGAACCGATTCTGCAGCACATAACAAGTTGACACATAAAATGTCACACCAAGTTAAAAAAAAACTTGCTTTTTTGTTTTTTTTCCTAAAATTTTTAAACATGAAGTATCACATAACAATTTTTGGGGAAATAATTTAATGGTAAAATTAGAATTTCAGTCAGGCAGACTACAATATCACACCGCACTGTGCACTTCAGCCTCTTGAGCAATATTGTTGGAATGACTGAAGAGCTTCCCCAAGCAATGAAAAATGGGGGCATCACTTGTTCTTGACGTCATCGGGTTGTATGGTAGGAGCTGAAGTGAGTCCCAACTCACTCTGCTAGGAGGCAGCAGGAAGTCCTCAGCCGTGACTGACTTTCCTGTCGCTGAAGGGCGGACCTTATCCTCCCCAAAGGAGCACAAGTTCCCCCCCTCCAGAACACACCCCAACCCTGAGTGACTTCTTCATCCAAGTGATTTCTGCTGCGGCCGGGCTCCAGTCGGGAAACTAGCGTTAAATACGCCCGTGTACAAATTAGCAATGAACTGAGCGAGCGGGCAGAGGTGTGTCTGCCCGAGAAGAGCTGGCCGGAAGGGCGTATCCTTGAGGGGGCGTGACCGGAAGCAGACGGCGGGTTCCGCCCCTCGCGCCAGGGAGGCAGGCTCCGACCAGGTCTGCCACTGCGGCCTACTTTCTCTCCGAGTGTCTTCCCTGCCGACATCATGCTCCAGTTCCTGGTGAGTGGAACTGCCAGCGGTCGGTCGGGTTCTCGCCCGACCCCTCCAGTTCTCGCAGCCCCTGGGTGCAGCAGGGTGGGCGCTGGGGCTTTGTGTTTGCCTCGTCCCGAATGCCTTCGCCGTATTTCCCTGCCGTCAGCCAAGCCCCTGATATTTAGAGGCGTCAGAACATGACCCTTGGAAGCCCCCTACTCGTCGTGCTGCCTCTGGAATAGTGGGTCCAGCCCCCGGCCTCTGACTTCCGGTCCCCCTCCCCCCCATTGTATGGGACTGGGCCCCGCGCCCTGATTTCGCGAGAAGCGCAGGACAAACCTAAAATTAACCGCCCCCGGTACTCCTCAGTTTCCAGTTTCGATGGTGGCGGGGGCTGGAAGGACGCTAACCCTGGTGGTGGTTGTGGTTATATGTCGTGGAGTCGCTTCCGACCCATAGAGACCCTGTACAGGGTTTCTGAGGCTGTAAATCTTTACGGGAGCAGAAAGCCTCATCTTTCTCTCGCGGATCAGCTGGTAGTTCCGAACTGCTAACCTTGAGGTTAGCAGCCCCATTAGTAATCACTACGGTGAACCCTTGTCCACAATTAGTTTTTCCACAAGGAGGGTTAGCATGAATCAACAGATTGTTTCTCAGGCGCCTGTTGCAGTTTAAAATTGGTTTTCTGGCAAAACTCGGTGCGTTTCAGAGTTTGCCCATCAAACTGCCAACTAAAAAGAGCCTTTCTGTCAAGTTTCTGTGAGCTCAAATCTTGTCTCTTTCAACGTCTGCATCTCGGAAGAGACGGACGATGGAAATCTGCAAGAAAAAGTGCCCTTCTGAAATATGGTTGTGGACTTTTAAAACATCTCTAGGCCCAAAGAGGGTTCTTTTATATGAACTGCTCACCCACAGCAGGGCTGCACTTTTCTGCAAGTTTCTCCAGTGTCCTGCCTTTTCCAGTGAGCAGCTGTCCTGCCGCAGTGCCTAAGAGGTTGGACTCCTGAATCCAACTCCTGGGCTTGAACTTGGTTGTTTCCACACGGTGGCAGGTTATTTGAAGTTCTGTCTGCTTTAGCTCCCACACCTGAAAACAGGAACCTGCTTCCTTCTGGCCTCGATCTGAGGATTACAAATGAGTAAACACAGTCCTGATGTGGCCCCTGTAGGGTAAGCACTGGATCACAAGGTTGGTGGTTCAAACTCACCAGGCGCTCCTCAGAAACCCTCTACAGGATCACTGTGAGCCAGAATAGCATCAATAACAACATAATAAAGGACGTAAACAGTGGCTCTCTGTCAGGACTCAGATCTGGGCAGGGCATTAGTTGGACTCTAATAGATTCCTTGACCTCAGCAGGGGAGGTGGTGGGAAAGGAAACAGTGACTCACTTACAAACTGCCCACACTGTCATCACACATTTCAGAAAAGGACCCTCTGAGGCCTTCCTGAAGGAGCCCTGGTGGCACAGTGGTCATGTGCTTGCTGACCTGTGAGCTGCAATGTCAGTGATTCAAACCCACCAGCTGCTCCTCAGACGGATGTGGCAGTCTGCTGTGGCGCAGGCGACAGCTCTGGAAACCCTCGGGGGCGGTTGTGCTCCCTGAACCAGAATTGCAGGGAGGGCAGTGGTGCGGTGGCTTGGTGAGGCTCCCTGTCATTGTCATTCCTGCTGTCTCTGGTTATGTTGTTGTTCAGAGAGCCGGTTCATTGATCTTTCCTCCTGGATTAAAATAGTCACCCACCATCCCTGTCAGGAAGACCTGTTCCATGACCCTGCTGCCCCCTTTCTCCTCCCTTGGACCCCCGAATGACCTTCTGGTTGTCAGCCAAGGGCTTTAACCACTGCACCCCCAGGGCCCTTCCTTTGACCACAGTGGGGTGCTGAGTTACAATACGGGGTCATTTGAGGGAGACTCACGGGATAAACCTTTGAAAGGAAGCTCTGTAGGGTAAACACTGGGCTTCTAACCGCAGGGCTAGTAGTTCTAACCCACCAGCTGTTCCACAGGAGAAAGTGAGGTTGTCTGCTTCCGTAAAGATGTTCAGCTTCAGAACCCCTGTAGAGGAGGCCTGTGATCAGGATTGACACCCTGCAGTGGATTTGGTTTGGGATTTCCTACTTTTGGTTACTGGGTGTTCCTTAGGTCCTTGAACCTTTATTCTTTTCTCCAAACCTTGTCCTTGGAGGTCCAGGTCCCCCTCCTGCATATTGCACCTCTGCTGTCCTCTTTTCGGTCTCAGACCCAGTCTGTGAGGACCCACTACCTCCTTCTTTTCCTTGACTCCTCCAGATTTCTTTCTGTGTCCCCCTGCGATGTCTCTCAAACTGTAAATGTTGCCGTTTCTTTGATTCATTTCTCTTCATCGTCGTCCTCCTCCTCCTCGTTTACCTGGTGTGTGCTTGCCACACACATGTACCTGCTGTGTACAGCTTGACAAGTTACTCTACGGCTGTGCACCTTTGTTTCCCTGAGGTCATTCATGAGAAGTAGAGTGCCCCCTGGCACGTGGAGGTACTGCTAGCTATTTGCTGGAACAACTCCGATGAGCAGGTCTTTCTCAGGCTGCCCTTGACCCAGCCTTCACTTCATCTCGAAACTCAACAGCCATCTTCTAGAGCCCTGATAGGGCGGGGTTTCCAAGGCGCTCTCCCATGGAATGGCTTGTGGTTCAAACTACTGACCTTTGGTTAGCTGCTTAACCACTGCGCTACCAAGGTTCCTTTTGTTGTTGTTATGTGCCATAGAGTCGGTTCAGACTTACAGTGACCCCGTATAGGGTTTCAAGGAGCAGCTGGTGGGTTTCAACCTGCTGACCTTACGGTTAGTTGTCTGTTGCTTTTCTTGTTGTTAAGTGCTGTTGAATCAGTTCTGACCCATGTTGTCGTTGTTGGTATGTGCTGTGGAGTCGATTCTGTCTCATAGCGACCCTATACAGGGTTTCTGAGGCTGTAAATCTTTATGGGAGCAGAAAGCTTCATCTTTCTCACACAGAACAGCTGGTAGTTTCAAACTGCTGACCATGAGATTAGCAGCCCAATTCGTAACCACCACGCTTTTCCGAGGAGCAGCTGGTGAGCTTGAACCGCCAACCTTGCAGTTCAAATCGCTTTGCAGTCTGGCACATTAGCCCACAGCGCCACACCAGGACTCTAGCCTATTGCTTGTTGTAGTTAAGTGCCCTTGAGTCAGTTCTGACCATAGCGACCCTGTATAGGGTTTCTGAGGAGCAGCTGGTGAGCTTGAACCACCAACCTTGAATTTCAAACGGCTTTGCTCTGGCGCATTAACCCACAGGCCACACCAGGACCCCAGCTTATTGTTTTGTTGTTGTTGTTGTCAGGTGCCATCGAGTTGGAACCAACTCATAGCGACCCCATGCACAGCAGAACGAAA